ATGCCGAGCATTTTTTCAAGTGCTTGTTGGCCATTTATATATCTTCACTGGTGAAATGTCTGTTCTAGTCCTTTGCCCATTTTTTGATTGAGTTGTCTTTTTGTTGTTGAGCTGTAGAAGTTCTTTATTTATCTTGGATATTAAACCCTTATCAAATATATGATTCACAAATATTTTCTCATTCTGTGTGTTGTCTTTTCCCTTTAGTGTCCTTTGATGCACAAAAGTTTGTAATTTTGATGAAGTCCAAGTTATTTTTTCCTTTGTTGCCTGTGTTTTTGGTGTCATATTTAAGAAACCATTGCCAAATCCAAGGTCATGAAGCTTTCCCCCATGTTATCTTCCTAGAGTTTTATAGTTTTATCTCTTAATCTTAGGTCTTTGACTCATTTTTGGTTTATTTTTGCTTATGGTGTAAGGCAAGGTTCCAACTCCATTCTTTTGCATGTAGAAGTCCAGTTTTTCCAGCACCATTTGTTGAAAAGACTACCCTTTCCCCCACTGAATGGCCTTGGCACCCTTGTCACAATCAATTGACCGTAGATGTGAGGGTTTATTTCTGGGCTGTCTATTCTATTCCATTGGTCTATGTGTCTATTCTTATGCCATTACCACACAGTCTTGATTACTGTAACTTTGTAGTAAATTGTGAAATCAGGAAGTGTGATTCCTCCAACTTCGTTCTTTTTCAAGATTGTTTTGACTGTCTGGGGTCCCTTGAAGTTCCATATGAATTTTAGGATAGGTCTTTCTTTCTTCAAAAAATACCATTGGAATTTTTGTAGGGATTGCATTGAATCTGTAGATTGCTTTGGGTAGTATTGACATCTTTTTTTTTTTTAATAGTTAATTTTATTTTTGGTGAAAATATACACAGCAAAACACGCTTCCATTCTACAGTTTCTGGACATAATGATCAGTGACATGGTTATATTCTCCACATTGTGTCAGCATTCTTGTTATCTCTCTTCTAGTTGTTTCACTTCCATTTTCTTGAACTCTTTGACACTCCCCCACCACAGACACACACAGCTTTCTCATTTATGCTTTAAAATAGCTGTTGACCCTTTGGTCTTATATAGATTTTTTTTTTTTTAATGCAATACTCAAGGGGACAATCTTTACTCTTTGGGCTAAACTGTTACTTATTTAAAGGTGACTTCAGGGGGTAGTTTCAATTCAAAGTTTGAAGAGCAATTCAGGGCCATAGTCTCGGGAACTCCTTCAGCCTCAATAGATCTAGTAAGTCTGTATTCTTTAAGAATGTGAAGTTCTGTTCTACATTTTCCCCCCTTTTATCAGGATTCATCTATTGTATCCCTAATCAAAACATTCAGTAGTGGTAGCTGAGCACCATCTAGTTCTTCTAGTCTCAAGGTGGAGAAGGCAGTGGTTCATGGTAACAGCTACTCCTGTCGTCCAGTTCCTTCTCTGATTCTTGGGTTTCCTTCTTTCTCTTTTGTCCAGATGAATAAAGACCAGTAGTTGTATGTTAGATGGCTGCTCATAAGCTGTTGAGACCCCAGACACTACTCATCATACTGAGAGGTAGAACATAAACTTTAAGAATTATGTTATGCCAATTGACTGGATTGTCCCACAAGACCACGGCACTAAACCCTCAAACCAAGAGAACCAATCCCATGAGGTGATTGGTTATGTCTAATTAGTATCAACATTTGTAGCCCGCCCCCCCCCTTTTCTGGTTGTTGTTATTGTTACAAAACCACACAAACCCAGCATTTGCCCATTCATCCCTTTTCCCTGTGTACAGCTTATTAACATCGATTACATCAGTCATGCTGTGCAAACTTCACCCACATTTGGTGCCACCTTTCCATTACTATAAGCAAAAAGTGACTACTACTTAGGGGTACTTCTCCCTCCCCACCACCACTCCTGGTAACCACTAATGAACACTAGTTTCTGTATATCTACCTATTCATGTCATTTTACAAAAATAAGAACATATAACATTTGTTTTTTTGTAATTGATTTATTTCACTCAACATAATGTCCCCCAGGTTCATCCACGTTGTAAGATTTTCAGGAATTCATGTTTCTTTATCACTGAGTAGTATTCCATTGTATGTATGTATCACATTTTGCATATCCGTTCATCCATTGCTGGGCACTGTAATGATTAAGGTTGTGCGTCAGCTTGAATGGGCCGTGATTCTCAGCAGTTTGGCAGTTATATAATGATGTAGTTTGGCTGTTATGTAATGATGTAATTTGGCAGTTGTGTGATGATGTGGTCATCCTCCATGATGTAATCAGCCAATAAGTTGTAAGGGGCATTTCCTCGGGGGTGTGGCCTCCATCAAATATATATATGGACATTCTGGGAAAGCTTGCTTGCTTGCTCTGGATCCTGCATCTGGCTCATCATCATCTGACCTCCGGTTCTTGGGACTTGAGCCAGTGGCCTGCCATATTGCCTGTCGATCTTGGAATTTGTCAGCCCCCACAGCCTGTCCAGTGGCCTGCCATCTGACCTGCTGATCTTGGGTTTGTGAGTCCCTGCAGCTATGCAAGTCAGGAGAAGACTCCAGCCTGACACCTGACCCATGGACTTGGTACTTGCCAGCCTCTACAACCGTGTGAGCCATTTCCTTGAGATAAATCTCTCTCTCTCTGTATATATATATATATATATATATATAAATATATATATATATATATATACATACATACTTATGTATGCTTCACTGGTTTTGCTTCTCTAGAAAACCCAGCCTAAGATAGGCACTTAGGTTGTTTCTGTCTTTTTGCTAATTGTAACTAGTGCTGCAGTCAGCATAGTGTTCATATGTCTGTTCATGCCACTTCTATTAGCTCCCTAGGGTATATAACTAGAAGTAGATGTAGTGGCAGCTCTACCTCTAGTTTTTTGAGGAAGCTGCAAACTGTTTTCTACAATGGCTGTACTATTTTGCATTCCCACCAGCAATGGATGAGGGTTCCATAGTATAGACATTTTAACAATATTAAGTCTTCTACTCCATGAGCATGGGATGTCTTTTCCCTTTATTTAAAAAACAAAACCAACAACCCAGTTGCTAGTGAGTTGATTCTGACTCATGGCGACCTCATGTGTGTCAGAGTAGAACTGTGCTCCATAGGGTTTTCAATGGCTGATTTTTCGGGAGTAGATCATCAGGCCTTTCTTCTGAGGTGCCTCTGGGTGGACTCAAACTTCCAACCTTTTTGTTAGCAGCTGAGCACAGTAACCATTTGCACCACCCACAGACTTCCATTTATTTAGGTTTTTCATTTCTTTCAGCAATGGTTTACAGCTTTCAGTGTAAATAGATCTTCCACCTTCTTGATTAATTTATTACCAGGTTTTTTTGTTTTTTTTTTTTTGGTGCTATTGTAAATGATGTGTTTGAATTATGGTGTTGGTGAAGAATATTGAACATACCATGGACTGCCGGAAGAACAAACAAATCTGTCTTAGAAGTACAGCCAGAATGCTCCTTAGAAGCAAGGATGGCAAGACTACATCTCACATACTTTGGACATGTTATCAGAAGGGATCAGTCCCTGGAGAAGGACATCATGCTTGGTGCCTTAGTCATCTAGTGCTGCTATAACAGAAATACCACAAGCAGATGGTTTTAACAAAGAGAAATTTATTTCCTCACGGTAAAGTATGTTAAAAGTCCAGATTCAGGGCATCAGCTTCTCTCTCTGTCGGCCTTCTCATCAATGTTCCCCCGGACTAGGAGTTTCTCCACACAGGGACCCCAGTCCAAAGGACGCCCTCTGCTCCCAGCACTGCTTTCTTGGTGGTGTGAGGTCCGCCTGTCTCTCCGCTCCCTTCTGTCTTTTATATCTCAAGAGATTGCCTCAGGACACAATCCAGTCTTATAGACTGAGTACTGCCTCACTAACACAACTGCTGCCCATCCCCCCTCATTAACATCATAGAGGCAGGATTTACAACATATAGGAAAATCACACAATGCCAGGAATTATGGCCCAGCCAAACTGACACACACATTTTTGGGGGGACATAATTCAATCCATGACACTTGGTAAAGTAGAGGGTCAGCTAAAAAGAGGAAGCCCCTCAACAAGATGGATTGACACAGTGGTTGCAACAAGGGGCTCAAGCATAACAGCCATTGTGAGGATGGCGGAAGGACCGGGCAGTGTTTCATTAATGTTGACATAGGGTCACTGTGAGTTGAAACCAACTTGACAGCACCTAACAACAACAGTTATAAATGGAACTGTTTCTTTAATTTTCTTTTCAGATTGTTCATTGCTATTGTATAGAAATAAAACTTATTCTTGTGTGTTGATTTTTGAATCCTGCAACTTTGCTGATTTTATTTGTTAGCTCTAACAGTTTTTTTTTTTTTTTTTTAATGGATTCTTTAGGATTTTCTACATATAAAATCATGTCATCTCTCTTCTAAGGATAGTCGGTGATTGCATTTAGGGCCCACCCTGATAATCCAGGATAATCTCCCCTTCTCAAGGTCCTTAACTTAATCACAGGTCGCATTTAATCACAGGTTCCAGGGATTGGGACCTGATACCTTTGGGGGCCTGTACTCTGTCTAGCACAGTACCTGTACCCAAATGTAAGAAGAGCAGCTGACACACAGCCTTTACTACGTGGCTAGCACTGGAACTCACTCTGCACAGTGGCCCTCTGAGGTAGCTATGGTTACCATCCCACTTCAGATGAGGAAACGGAGGCACGGAGAGGTTAAGTAGCTTAACCTCCCACAGGCAGCGAGTGGCAGCATAGACTCCTTGCCTGGCAGTCTGGGATTGTAGAAGAAGAGGAATAAAAGGGTCCAGAGCATCTTGAGAGTCTCCCAGACTTAAATTGTCATTTTAAAAGGCTAGTCAGCCTGGACCTGTCTGAAATTTTCCCTGCCCCTGCTTTCTTCCCATTCTCCCCTTCTCAAACACCCTTCCCTGAAGCAGACTGTCAGCAGCAGGCAGCACACTGTGCTCACGTCTCCCCTCGTCTGCAGGACATGAAAGCTATGTCACCTTCTGCCAGCTGGAGAGCGAAGCTGCCTTCACATGCAGTGCCGACCACACCGTCAGGAAGTGGGACGTGCTTACCGGCCAGTGTCTGGCTGTTTACCGAGGACACACGTCCATCGTGAACAGGTCAGTATGACCAGGGCTCCTGAGCAGCCAGTCATTGGGCCTTGTTCTGTAGTCAGGGGCATCACCCAGCAGGGCCAAGGAGACCGAGTGTAGGACGTGGGCCCTGCCCTTGGGGAACCTGGACACAGGACAGGTGGTCAGCAGCACACAGCTGTGGGGGCTGGGGCAGAAGTGCACTGTGCTAATACTCAGGTGCAGTGGGAGTTTGGGAGACTAAGGGGCAGGAGACTCATTTACTCCTCCATGGCAAACCCGTTGCCATCAAGTCGATCCCAACTCATAGCGACCCCATAGGACGGAGTAGAACTGCCCCATAGGATTTCCAAGGCAGAAACAGACTGCCACATCTTTCTTCCGTGGAGTGGCTGGCAGGTTCGAACCTCTGACCTGTCAGTTAGCCACCAAGCACTTTAACCACTGCACCACCAGGGTTCCTCTTCCAATGGCAAGTACCTCCAGTACCCTGAATTGTGTCCAACAACACCCTTGGGGGCCCTGGCAGCACCGCTGCCCCCTGCTGGCTGTAAGGAGAAGCAGTAGTGCCTACTATTCCCACTGATGGGCACAAATTCCAGAGGAAATTGCTTAATTGATAACTGATGGTAGACTGGGTTGCGGGGAGGAGGATAAAAATGGGAATTGTTGTGAAGATGGAATCGTGGATATTTTTAAACTTCTTTCCTTGTGGCTGTCAAAAATATCCCACCCCTCCCTTGTCAAGGAGGTTTGAATTTTCCTTTCTTTATTGAATTTGGGTCTGAGCTGAGCAATGGAAATTCCTTTGCTGATCAGATCAATTTGACACTATTTAGTTAGCTGAGGAGGGTTGACTGGCCCTGTCAGACTCCTGATGGAATGCCCGTACAAGGGGGAGGCTTGTGCCCCCACCCACAGGCCCTTCCAGCCGAGAAGGAGCTGCATTTGGCCAGAGCTTCATCCAAGTACAGCCCCAGTACTCAGGAATTCATGAAACATGCTACAGGATGGTCTGCCAGCTGGGGCTGGGGCGGGCAGAGAGGAAGGGGTATTCTAGTGGGCAGGGGATTAACCGTCAGGGCGGCGAGTGGGACGCAAGACCAGCCCGTGATCTCAGTAACCACAGCGGCAGAACCTGCCCAGGAGCAGTCCCCACAAGGCAGGCTGCTAGGGGTACCCCCAGGTAGAGGGTAGCAGTAAACCAGAGGACCTCCCTGTGCTGACTCGGGAGGGGATGGTAAGAGTGGAGAGGTCAGTCTGGAAGAACCCCAGCAGGGCGCCCAGCCTGGCCACTGCCACCAACAGCTGGGGCACAGAGAGCTCAGGACTGCCCAGGGGCAAGCAGGCATGGCAGCGAAGGGACCAGAATAGAATTCGAGTCTCCTACAGCTGACACTGGCCTCTTCTGGCCACATGCCTTTTTTGAGAGAGACACTTGTCATTAAAATAAAGTGGGGGGTGGCGAGGAGCCCCCTTTGTGAGTGGCTTGAAGAAGCCTGGCAGATGGGGCAGGTGGGAGAACCCCCCACCCCCGTTGGCCACCGTGACCTCAGGTCACAGCTGGCTAACCTGAGAACTACTAGCTGCTTCTCAGAAGTAAGTCTGGATAATTAAGTTAGAACGCTCGCTCTGTCACTGTTAGACCGCCCTCCCATGCGCACACACACTATTTCTGAATGGTCAGCTGTTAAAAAGCAATAGCTCTGGGTCGATTTTTGCATTATTAATAACTCTGGTCACAAATGTGCCAAATCTCTGAAATGAGGGCATGGGATTCACATCCTCAAGTTTTCAGAGCCAGCCCAGGCATGTGAGTGTCAGGGGCTCCAGAGCTTTGGTAACACCAGACCATACCCCCAGGCCTCCCTGACAATGCTGCCCCCCACAACACCTCCCACTGGTCCTGTGTGGCATGAGTCTCCACTTCATCTTAGAAATATACGTCTTATGAAAGTCCAGGGAAAAGCGAGTCAGAAACGTAATTCTTACTTTGGTGTAATTCTGTTTCATTAAGTTCCTTGTAGAAGTGAGGATTGTCTGAGGGCCTGAGGAGACACAGGCCTGGGGTACGAGAGTCCCACAGCCAGGCCAGACCTCCTCCAGGCCCTTCACAGAGGAGCCTGAAGACCAGGTTGTGCCTCCGATACTGAGATGGAGGTGGGGTCCCGACCCTTGGTCCATCCCCACACATAGGGTTCTCCCAGCAGACGTGCCCCAGCCCAACACCCCCACCCACTGTGCCTGTGTCCTCAAAGTCTGTCACGATCTGCCCCCCGTGAGCATGGGGACTCTCAGCAAGGGGGCTGCGAACCTCTGAAGCTACAGGCAGGATTCCGGGTGCATTTTCCTGTGGGTTTTCCTGGAGGGGCCTTCTTCACATTCATTGGAGACTAACAGTCATGAATATTTACTGCTTGGAACCCTGGAGCTTGGGTGTCTGGCACCAGACATCAGCCCTCATGAGGTCCTGCTGGTCTGAGCTGACAGCAGACCCTTGACACTGGCCCCACACTCCATGCCATGCACCCCCTGCCAGAGCCCCCTACCCACTGCAGCTTCAGTTCTAAGACTGGGCCATAGGCCCTGCTCACCTGTGCCCCTTCCTGGGCCCTGACCTTTATAGGAAGTCATGGGTGTACACACGAGGGACAGTGTCCTCAGCTGTGAACATGGGGGCCTCCCTCCTCCTGAGGCCCTCAGTTTGAAACCCTCTACCCAGCCAGTTGAGCCTGACATCCAGGGCGACCAACTCATCCCAGTTTGTCCCTGTTTTAAACTTGGAAGCCCTGCATCCCCAGAAATCTTTCAGTCTGGGCAAATAGGCATAGTTGGTCACCCTACCCATCCCCTTCCCTGCCTTCTTCTCTCCCTTCTTCCCTTTCTACCTGCTGCCCATAATGATTTATTGAGCAACTGCTAAGGGCTAAGTGTTTCAAGGGCCTTCCCTGGGGCCTTGATTCTGGCTGAGGGTGAAGTCCAGATGGACACGTGGACTCAGCAGAGAAGGGGAATTCAGCCGAGGTGAGGGTGAAATCAGGGAAGCTTTCTGGAGAAGGGGACTCTGAGCTGGACTCAGAAGGCAAATGTGGCCAGGTAAAGAAGGAGAGGTGTTCTGGCTGCTGTGCTGAGTCTGGCTGGGCAAGAGGCTGTGTGGATTCTGGCAAAGGGCACGGTGTCCACGCAGGGGTGGGCGGAGGAGTGTCTGGGAGAATGCTTGGGGCCAGACTGAGGAGGCCTTGAGTCTGAGTCTCATTCTGTGGGTGGTGGGGAGCCCAGAGGCCCAGCCTACTGCTGAAGCCCCTCACTGTGCTCTCCTGAAGCAGGAGCCCAGGACGCCCCACTCCCTGCTTTCCTCAGACTCGTGTCTCCTGTCTGCCAGGAGTGTCTTGCCCTTCCCCGTTAGCTGGACTGTTGAACACTTAGAACATCAGCCAGAGGGAGTAGGGGTGTCACCCTGTGGCCAGCCTGGCCATCTGACCCCTGACATTCCCCTTTTGCCACCAGGATATTGGTGGTCGACAACCAGCTCTTTAGCAGCTCCTACGACCGGACAGCTCGCTGCTGGAGTGTAGACAAGGGGCAGATGTTCCAGGAGTTCCGGGGCCACCGCAACTGCGTCCTGACTCTAGCCTACTCTGCCCCCCGGGACCTTCACGGCGCCCCCTGCCAGTGGGACGAGGCCGTGGCTGGGGGGCTGCTGGTGACAGGCAGCACCGACGGCACGGCCAAGGTGTGGCAGGTGGCCAGTGGCTGCTGCCATCGGACGCTGCGGGGCCACACGGGCGCTGTGCTGTGCCTGGCACTGGACACGCCCGGCCACACAGCCTTCACGGGCAGCACTGACGCCACCGTCCGCGCCTGGGACATCTTGAGTGGGGAGCAGCTGCGGGTGTTCCGGGAGCACCAGGGCTCAGTCATCTGTTTGGAGGTGAGACCACCCTGGCCGCCCACAGCCCGTCTACCACAAGGGTGCTGGGCTGCCCCATGGCTGTTAGCCCCAGCCTCGCTCCCGAGCCTGTGTGGCCAGGCTGTGCCAGAGCCCCTCGGAGGGCCCTGGAGGGGAGCCTGCTGGCCAAGGCCAGGTAGACCCCTGGGCACTGTTCCTCAGGGCCCGGAGTTGTGGAAAACTGTCCCCTGCCCTGTTCTCCGACCAGCCACAGTGGATTTCTAGGCCTGTGGCGATCTAGCAGAGTGGTCGTCTAGAACCCCAGCCCCCACGACCTGCCTGCCCTCAGATGCCCTGCTCACTGCACTGCACCTGGTTTCCCTATCTGTAAATGGGGGTTGTCTAGGCCCACAGCCCTGTGTCCAAAATCCTTAGATCCAACAAGTTCCGACAAACAAAAAGCTTTTTCTTAAGGTGGCGCCAAAACTCGTTGGTCACAAGGCCTGATCTGAACATAGGTGTGGCTGTATGCAGTTTTGTTTATCCCTTTGCTTAGAAACATTCCAGAAAACTCAAAGTCAATTCCAACTCATAGCAACCCTATAGGACAGAGTAGAACTGCCCCACAGAGTTTCCAAGGAGTGCCTGGTGGACTCCAACTGGCGACCTTTTGGTTAGCAGCCACGGCTCTTAACCACTACACCACCAGGGTTTAGTGTTTGTAAAACCCAAAAGGCCCTGAGATGCCTCTGGCCCCAAGGGTGTGGGTAAGGAACTACGGATGTGTGATTGTAGCTACTTCATGGGGTGGTTGTGTGGATCTAATGCATAGAAGACATTAGGGTACCTAAACAGGGCCTGTTATGCAGTATGTTCTTGATAACTGTTGGCAATCAGTAACATCATTGTCGTTGTTCTTGTTACTAAGCAGCTCAGGTATGTGCTATCCCAGGCTTGGCAGTGGGGTCCCATTAGATTAGATTAGGAGCACAGGGGTGCCGGGCTCTGATCTTAGCCAGCCTCTTACCTTCCAAAGGGGAGCAGCTCGGGCTGTCGCTTACGGCCCCTGCTTTCTGGGGAGCCACATCTGAGGTGGTAGGAGAGGAGTTCAGGGCAGCAGGAAGCTAAACAACCTACCGCGTAGTCATCCTGGCAACTGTGGCCACGGGCCGGGTGGGGGAGGGGGCTTCCTGGCAGCAACCTCCCTGGCTGGTCCCCACTGGGGGCCAGGTCAGGCCACTGGGTTGTGGTTCTGGGGGTGAAGGCAGCTTGCGGCTCCAGGGACAGTGGAGGGAACTGCTGGCCCCTCACTCCTGGCCACCCAAAACCCCAGAGAGCCACAGGCGCCCGTGTTGGGTTTGCGTGGCTTCTCATTTTATGTAAATCACATTTCTATAACTCTGGCCCTGCTTCGGGGCATTGTGGCCCAGTGGGGGACATTGAGCTGTGAGTTGGCACCTGGTTTCTAATCCCAGCTTTGCCGCCTGCTGTGTAGGCTACCCAGCCTCAGTTTCCACAACTCTCAGGTGCTGGTAATGAAAACAGCCCTTCTAACCCCTCAGGTGCACTGTGAGACTCAGAAATAGCAGATAGGAAAGTGGCCTGAGAACATTACACATACAAAGCTGTGGACTTCCAGGATCTTACTCCCTTTAAAAGAATCATGTGGTCAGGCCATTTGTGGTGACATTTGTAGAGCAGAGGGTCCGCCCAGCCAGAGACATAACTAAGGCCTGGCAAGGAGGCATGCGCCCTGGATGCCGTCTGAGGAGGGGTGTTACTAAGGCCTGGCAGGGAGGCAAGCACCCTGGATGCTGTCTGAGGAGGGGTGCCAATAAGGCCTGGCAGGGAGGCACGCGCCCTGGGCGCCGTCTGAGGAGGGGTGCCAATGAGGCCTGGCAGGGTGGCACGCGCCCTGGGCGCCATCTGAGGAGGGGCGCTAATGAGGCCTGGCAGGGAGGCCCGCGCCCTGGGCGCTGTCTGAGGAGGGGTGCCAATGAGGCCTGGCAGGGAGGCACGCGCCCTGGGCGCCGTCTGAGGAGGGGTGCCAATAAGGCCTGGCAGGGAGGCACGCGCCCTGGGCACCGTCTGAGGAGGGGTGCTAATAAGGCCTGGCAGGGAGGCACGCGCCCTGGGCGCCGTCTGAGGAGGGGTGTTACTAAGGCCTGGCAGGGAGGCCCGCGCCCTGGGCGCCGTCTGGGAAGGGGTGCTAATAGCAGTTTCTACTGGCCATCGGCCATTGCAGTTCCCATCCCAGCTGTGAGAGATCTTTCAGCACTTTAAAACTAATTGCCATAGGTGCTGTTTTCCATAGATGGGCCCCCGCCCCTGGCCCCGGTTGTGTTTGAGCTCCGAGTGAGGAAGGGGAGGGGGCGGGGGCAGGTGCATATTGGTGGGGGGCCCAGCAGGTGAAGTAAGAGAGTAGCCCCACCCAGCCCAGGAACCCAACACAGGAGTAGAAAAAGGAGCCAGCCGGGCCTGGCGAGGGGAGGCTCCTGGAACAGCAGCCCTTCCCTTAGGCCCCAGGCCTGCCTCCCACCCCAGGGGCCTGGTGGGGCTTCCTGGGTCCCCTGCATAGGGTTATTCTGTGGGGCCTGGGTGCTATTCACCCAGCAGCGTGGGAGAAGCTTTGAGTGTTCCAGCAGAGAATCAGAAAGGCTCTACTGAAATGCAGTCTAAAAGAGAGATGTCAGGAGGACACACACATTATACACACACCACACATACACACTACACACTACACATCCCACACACACTTCCCACATACACACAGCACACACACCACACATCACACACACCACACATCACACACACCACACACATCTCACACACACATAGTACACATCACACACTACATACACTACACACACATAGTACACATCACACACTACATACACTACACACACATAGTACACATCACACACTACATACACACACTACACATACTACACACACACCACATATACACACTACACACATCACACACACACTACACACATACATCACACACTACATACACACCACACCACACACATTACACAAATATCACACTACACACACACACACACACACTACTCAGAAGAGGGAGTGCCCAGGAAGGACAGAGGCTCTGGCTATGTGCTGTGCCTTTGTGTCTTTTCCCTTTGAAGCTTAACAACCAAACAGCCCCAGAAAAGCAACTCGAATGGGAAGAGAAGTGAAGGGAGATGCTTCCAAAGGGGATGAGCGAGCCGGGAGCAGCCATGTGGCGGGACAGCCTGTCCTAGAGGGAGTGGGGTGCGGGGAGCCCAAGGTGAGACCCCAGAGAAAGGTGAGCAGGTGGGCTGTCGATGCCATGAGGGGCGGAGACCCTGTGAGGGCTGCAGTGGTCTGAGAAGCCTCCGTGGAGCAGGGGGACAGCCTTGAAGGACCCTTGGGGTTTGTATGGGCAGGAGAAGGAACAAAAAGGAGGGCAAAGAAATGACCACAGCAGGTGTGCGGCCAAGGGCTCTGAATCAGAGTCGGGAGGAGAGGCGGAGGGCTGGGGACAGAGGACTTGCAACATCAGGGGTGAGTGCAGACACTTCATGGAGGCATCTCTGGCTGGCTGAGCACTGCTCCCTAAAATGGGTATAGGAACGGACCGCCACGTGAGGCAGCACACCCTTTTCCTATCAAGAGCTTTGTTGTTGCTGTTCCTTACCACTGAGTCGGCTCCAATGCATGGCAACCCCAGATACAACAGAAGGAAACATTGCCCTGTCCTGCGCCATCTTCATGATCATTGATATGTTCGAGTCCACTGTTGTGGCCACTGTGTATTCTGACTGCCTTCCAGCCTAGGGGCTCATCTTCCAGCACCATATTGGACAATGTTCTGTTGTGATCTATAGGGTTTTCATTGGCTAATATTCGGGAGTAAATCGCTAGGTCTTTCTTCCTGGTCTGTCTCAGTCTGGAAGCTCCACTGAAACCTGTCCAACATGGGTTACCCTGCTGGTATTTGAAATACTGGTGGCATAGCTTCCAGCATCACACAACACGCAAGCCACCACAGGATGAAACTGACAGGTGGTATAAAGAGCAGCCAGCTCTTAATTCAGTGAACGTCCGGTCATTTGGTCCATTGGTTGGTTAGTTAAGTGGTTAGTTAGCTATTAAATTACACCCTGCTTCCCTCCAGTGTGGATTCCAGGTGGAAGAGGCCCCATTGTCTAGAATGGTGGGGGGATGAGACGTCTGTTAATAAGGTCCTCCAGCATACTGTCTCTGCAACTGAAGATTTCCTGCTTTTTAGAGCAGCATAATTCAATAAGGCACCCGCCACTAATGGCCTGTCGAACCTTCGTTTACTGATTTTGAAAATGTGTTGAGAGTTTTAGGAATTCAGCTGTGTCTGTCGCCTGTGTGCTGTGCTTGAGGGTAGTGCAGGAGCTGTCCAGCAGGTCAGGAGTGAGACTCGTGAGCGAGGAGGGCCAGGCCAGGGAAGGGGACAGGGAGCGGGGGAAGGCAGTCCTGTTATTAGGCTTCTAAATAAATAGGAGTTTCTCTTGTTTGCTATTGTTTTTCCCAATCTCAGTGTATAAAGTCACTTTATAAAGTATAACTTTTACTATGTAACAACCTTCGCTTTAATCCCTTGGGAAATGCGAGTGTGTATAAAATATCGATGTTTCTACTGATGTCCTGGTCTGGCCCCTCTAAGACTCTCCCTGTCTCCCATAACAGGGTGAAGGCCCCTTGTTTCCCTCTCGTGCGGGCGGCCCGGCGCTCTCCGAGAGCTCCACGGCTGCCGAGGCAGATTCCCACCGGTGGAGAAGCAGAATTTAGTAAGCTTTCTGTTAGCCTCACCAGCTGGCTCCTTTCTGTGAGCCCAGCTGAGTGCTGGGACCATATAAGCCACAGAAGTGAGGATTTTACTTTTCTCTTCACTTTCATGCACACCTTTCATTTAACATGTCTCAGAAAATTGGGGTTTCTGGAGGCTAGAAGTCTTACAAGTCATGTTTGCTTAAAGTAATGGGGTTCTCTCAAGCTCTCTGAAATGCAGGATTCAGGGGATGTGCTCATGGGAGCAAGGCAGGGGTCAGCCTTACAGGTGGGTCCAGGAAGCAGGATGCGGGGCAGTAGGCCTGTGAGGCTCCTTCCCTGTGGGTTGGCTGTGTTCTTTTCTCTCTCTTGCTTTCTTGGTTTCTCTATCCAGGGACCAAGAACCCTCAGGGGAGAGGAGCCAGCTTGGCCCCTCTTGGGTCACCCGCACCTGTCCAGGGAACACGGGCCAGCCATCCCACCCATCCACCTGGCTTCAGCAATGGTTCCTGTGTTCATAGAAGAGTTTTGAGTTGTTTGCCCTGGGAGATGGACCCTCAGGCAGAGGTTCTCATTCCATGAGTGTGGGGAGGAGGATTAAGACACTACCCCTTTTTGAAAGAGGGCCACTGAGGCAGAGAAGGGGAAGTCACTCGGTTTACATTACCATGGAGACGCAGGATTTAGGACTCAGCCTCCAAGTACGCTCCCATTAGAAGTGACTCTTACGGCCTGAGCAGTGGGAAAGGGGTGGGGGGAGGTTGGGTGCGTGCAGCCCTGTAGCTCCCCTGACCTCACACCACTGTGGGCCCAGCATACCCAGACCGGGCATCTGGTCATGGCAAGCCCAGGTCTGTCATGTGGTCTGACTGTGTGAGGTAGAGAGGACCTGACTGTGGGGCCTTGGCTTCCTCAGTCTGCAGACTGGGAGACTCATGACTGACCCCCTGAGATAAGTACAAGTCTTTGGTGTGCTAGGGAGTGGTGGCGTGGAGCAGCATCACCCCTGAGACAGACAGACGGGTCTCTGGTGTGCTGGGTGGGCATGGAGCAGCGCCACCTCCTGAGACAGACAGACGGGTCTCTGGTGTGCTGGGCAGGCGTGGAGCAGGTCTGCTCTAACAAGGCAAGCTGTGTCGATAAGAGCCTCGAGGGAATTGCTCTTCCTCTCACTTCCCAGTCCAGCCACAAGTCTTCTTCTTCCCTCCAGACTCTCACCTGCTTTCTAGTCCATCCTGTGTCCCAGGGCTGGCCGCACTTCCTAAGCCAGTGCTGTCACTCTGGCACTCTGTACCCAGACCTGTTCAGGGCCGCTCTGAAAGGTCTCCTTGCCCAGCTGCATGCCCACCTAGCCTGGGACACGTGCTGTCTTGCCCTTGGCCTGGTCTTCAGTTTCCCGGGACCGCCTGTAAGGTGTGTGCTCAGTAACACAATGGCCCAGTCAGCACACCAAGGACCCAGAGGACTTTCAAGAGTGCAGGTTGTCTCTCCTTCCTGCCTCTGTGTTGCACAGGCAGGGTGCCTCAGAGGCAGTCCTGAGATCCCAAGCAACCACAGGTGGGACGAGGACCCTAACCAGTGGTAGTAACCCCTCCACAGTTGCTACGTCCATGTGGTCCAATCGAGTCACATACAAGACACGTGGTGTTGGCACAGTGAAAGTCATTTTATTACTCACAGAAGGATAGCAAACAGGAACAGTTCCATGGTAAGCCGGTCACCCCTGGGCTTGGAAGGCCGACTGGGCGGGAACGGAGACTCCTCTATGCACACCCCACTTTGCACCGTAGGAGAAGGACGCTCCCAAAGAGGACCTGCTCACAACTTCCTGAAAACCAGTACTCATGCTTACGTCACTGGGTGGGCATGTCGTGGCTCAGGTGTCAGCAGGTGCACTGTAGTTCAGGGGCTGGGTTTTTTCTCTCTCTCTCTCTCTGCGGCTCCTCTTGGCTGGCTCTGTTTTCATTGCTGACTGGTACAGCTCTCAACCAACAGTCTTGGGACAGCCCTGGGCCGGCCCCAGCTCTGGGCTGGCATCACGACAGCTCTCGAAGTAGAACTGCTCTGTAGACAAACCCTGAAAAGCGGTCCCAGGCTCAGTGGACAGACCCCTGCACAGGGCCTCTCACCACCAAGCCCTGTGGGCTGATGCGGCCCCACACCGCCACAGCTTTGCTGTTCAGGATGGAGCGGGCGCTGCCCAAAACCTCTGGGCCACCCACTTGCACCTGACTTGGTGGTCCTGCCTCTGAGTCTCCTGCCGCTGCCCAGGGGCTCTCACCGCCGAGTGTTTCAGCTCTCCGCCTGGGTCTCTGCCGCTGTCCAGGCCTGCTCGTGGTCTCCGCTGCTTCTGGTGCTGCTGCAGGCACTCCTCTCTGACTGCTCTGCTGCCACTTCTCTGTTCAGCAGGCGCTGGCTTCTGCTGCTTCTGGGCTCTGCTGCTGTTCCTCTAGGTCACTGCCGACTGCTCTGCCTTCTATAGGGTCTAGGGTTTCTGGTGCTTCTGGTGTTGGTCCTTTATTTCTTGATAAATTTCCAATCTCTTATCCCCCAGGCTGATGTTTCCACCCTGGGACAAGGTTGGGGGTTGGGATTCTTCAGCACAGAGCTTCTGTATTCCCAGAGGATGTCCTTGCCCCTCCCCCAGGAGTCAAACGTTTGCATCTCCAACCCAGGAAGCTCCTTTAGTGGCCTCACCACAGGCCCCCAAGTGGCCCCCCAAGTGGCCCCTCTTGGTCTGGTCAACTGCCACTCATTGGCCTGAGGTATGGTCCTGCTGTCAGACCCCAAGGCCAAATCATTTACTGAAAAGGGTACCACACCTTGCAGCTCCTCCCCTCTGGGAAGCACGCAGAGCAGGCAGGGGGACACTTGTCGCTGCTATTCTAAGAGTGGCAGCGTGAAGCACAGACGTGCTTGCTTCTCCCGCAGCTGCACAGTCGTGGAGCTGGGAGCACCAACGCCTGGAGTGTATGAAATCTCATCTCACTCTCCACCCTCTCCGTCAAGAGATGAACCTCATGTTAACATCTATTTCCTGTCTGTCCATTACCCTGTCTGTAAAATCCAGGCTGACACACATGGGACTCAGGGCAATGATTTAAAAGGGGCTCTTCACAGTTAGGCAACAGGCAGACAGCTTTCCCAGAAGGCCCCTCCAGGGATGCCTGGAGACACGTGACGTCCAGGGCCTGCGGTTGTGGGCTTTGGAGAGGAAGAGCCTGTGCTTGGAGGCTGAGAGCCTGCGGGGGAGCTGGTCTGTGGTTTCCTGTTGTGACATGTAGGGCATCTACTGGAATACAGGCTGAGCCTGTAGATACTGCCGTGCTTGATGAGCGGCTGTATTCATACTGCTAACGGGGAATAGGCCAGGCTTCTTTGGTTTGCTGAGATAAACTTGCGGGCTGCCTTTCCACAGCTCGGGTGGAAACCAGGAACTCTTAAGAGTTATCCAGTCTCAGGCATTTGCCTCCGCACCGGTTGGCCCTGTGTGGGCCTGGGAGCCACCGAGTCCACTCTCCCCTTCCTCTCAGGCCTACAGCCAGCTCCAGAGAAATCAGCCAAGCCCAAGGGGTCTCTGCCTACCCTGTTCATTACTGAACACCCCACAGGGCCCCAGAGGCCAGGTGGGGCAGAGCTGGGAGCCTCTCGGGTCTCCTCTAGAAAGGCTGGACCAAAGGAGGGGGAGGGCCCACTGCAAAATGCCAAACCCAAAGTCAGCAAGAAGATAAGCCAGCTGGTCAGATTCCTGTCCTCTGGAATTTGAGTTGAGAAGCATGGGGACATGGGAAAGCACGGTCGGCTGTGGACTGAAGTGTAAAGGTGGCCCAGAATGTGCCGTGAGGGGCAAGTGCCCGCCCAGCTGTGGGCCCAGGAGGTGGTGAGGACGTGGTGACAGATGTGCACTGGGGCCTGTCATGTGATGCCCCAGAGGGAGCCTCCATCTTCCTCCCAGGCAGGCCTTCTGTGCCTAACCTATGTGTAAGTCCCCAGAGCTCCTGGATCCAGCAGCTCTCACTAATGGTTGCATGGGGGCTTGCATGCCCTGGAAGCCTCCCGCCCCACATGACTGCAGCAGGCAGCACCCCTGCCTTTGGCTCCCTGTCACCGTCTGCTGACCAGGGCTGGAAACTAGGAGCTCTCCAGGCTGGGTAGGGTTTAGTCTAGGGGAACTTTCAGAATTGCTTCAATAGTCTCCACACCCCTCTTGGGCTGGACTGCTCATCCACCTTGGCAAGGGGGCTCCTGTGAAGGTATAGACGCTGTTTCTACCCCACGTCTCCCAGATGGAGTGTGGGTACGGAGGAGCGCAGACTCCTTCCTCAGTCAGGGCCAGCCCCATCTTTGGGCAGCCGGTGGGCAGGGTATCCAGCACCCCACAGCGGCCCTGAACACCTAGCTCCAGTTCAGGGAGAGGTTCACCTCCACACACACTCTCCCCAGCCCTGCTGGATTTCTCCAGACCTTTCTCTTTCCCATTTGCCCTTCGGCAAGCAGAAGTCCCATGGGAAAGTCCCTGGAGCTCTTTTCCAGATGGACAGCGTGAGTGAGCTGACTTCACGGCAGTGGTGATGGCTGCAGGTCATCCCACGCACCTCCCCAGGCACAAGGCTGTACCTCGATAGGGAACTTCAGAGATAATAGTAGTTGCAGGAGGGGCCAGTGTGTGCCCGCACCGTGCTGCCTGGTGCTGAGTGCCTACGGGTTATGTCTGTGCAGCCTCCCCGGCAGGTGCTGTCCTGACTTCCTGGCAGCTGGGGGCACGGTTAGTGCCTTGGCAGGGGAAAAGTAGCAGACTAAGGTTTGAAATAGGGGCAGATTATCCTGTTAACAAGGTAAGCACGGGCTTACTTGTGCTTACTTACTGATCTGTAGTGAACAATTTCACGTTTCACCATGCCACATCAAAGTGAAATTGTTTACTATAGATTAGTAAGTAACCACAAGTAAGCCCATGCTTACCTTGCTTATTGAATAATCCACCCCTAGTTTGAACCCAGGTCTCACCATAACCCCAAGTTTTCCTTCCTGGCCCACGTGGCCCTGCCCTCTGGAATGAGGGAATGGATGGGGTCACCACAGGCAGAGTCACTTCCTGGCTCATGACTGCTGGGTGGCTAGCAGCCGGGTGATGGGCTGACCCTCTCTCCTCCCCAGCTCGTGAACCGGCACGTGTACTCGGGCAGTGCTGACAGGACGGTCAAGTGCTGGCTGGCCGACACGGGCGAGTGCGTGCGCACCTTCAAGGCCCACAGACACAGCGTGAGCGCCCTCAAGTACCACGCGGGCACCTGTAAGTGACCCGCCCTGCCGGTGCTCCCCATGCCCCACCACGCCCACCCCCTGAGCCTCCACCTCCTGGAACCTGTCCAGACTCCCTGCTTGGGTGGGCCTGCTTCTCACACCCTGTGCTCACTCACCGGCCTGCTCTGTTGTCCTCTCACTGAGCCCCAGCTGCAGCCGGGCCTTCTCCAAGTCTCATCTCATGTTCTCCCAGGTTATTCTGGAGAGGAGATCCAAGTTAGGATCGGGGGCTCCCACTCCCACCTTTACCCCACAAGAACGTGGGGAGGACCTGAATGTTCAGAGCTCCTAGGGTAAAAAGCCCCTCTCAAGGACTGATTCTAATTATCAAAGCGAGGCAGTGACACCCAGTTAATCCAGCCAGACTTGAGGGCCACATGGGTTTTGCTTCACCTGGGATTAGGTTTGACTAAAGATAAAAGAAAACCCAAATAACAGTGCTTTAAATGAGATAGTGGTTTATTTTTCTCTCAGGTAAAAGAATTTCAGAGGCTGGCAGTCTAGGCTGGAATAGGTGGCCCACAAAGTCATCGGGTGCCAAGATTACTTCTATTATTTTGCTTCATCATCCTTAGCACGTATCTTCTATCTTCAGGGTGACCTCATGATTCAAAACAGCTACTGGAGCTCCAGCCATCATGTCATGTTTCAGGCAGAAAGACAGAAGAGGAGAAGGAAAGGGAAAAGAATGCCCCTTCCAGCTGAGTAGGCCCCACCCAAAGACTTCTGCATACATCTCTCTGATCACTCTCCCTGCAAGAGAGACTGAATAATGGTCTTTTATCTGGGGATGCTGCTGCTAGGATTAAGACCATGAGTATTTTGGGAAAGAAAGAAAGGCAGAATGGCTCGTTGGGGAGATGACAAGCTGTCCCACAGGACTCAAATTGTCACACATCCAGCCTGGCTGGGTGGTCACATGTTTATCTCAAACGCACCCGGAGAACAGACACCATGCAAGGGAAGCAACCCCAACCTCACTGCACTGCATGTGGCGGGACTCACAAGTTCCTGAAGGTCTTCCCCAAACTTTCCCGCTTTCCCCCAACTCATGTTTTGCCATCAGCTCTCCCTTCCTCTCTATTGCCTCCACCCCATGACAGAGCTGAGCCCGAGTGTGATCTTCTAGCACTAGGGCTGGGGAGGGAGGTCCTGGGAGTGGGCGGGTCACAGTGGAAAATTAAACGTTGATTTCACAGCAAAGGTGTGAGATAGAGTAGGAATTTCTGAAAATAGAGACTGAGGTGTCTGACACCCAAAAGTTATTTTTCCCTTCTTCATGTGTCAGAGCCTCTGCGTTTGACTGTGGCTCTGCTCCCAAGCCCAGGACATTTAGAGAGTACTCTCAGAGGGCTCCCGCTGGCAGGGCACAGGGAACCTTCCTCTGCAGGTGGCACATGCAGCCCCTTCCCGTGGCAGCAGCTGGGATTGTACCTGCAGCTGAAAGCAATCTCATGGACTCTTCCTACTTCCCACTGTTAGGGAGTGTGGATGGGCCACAGGATGAGCAGGCTCGGCTCCTGGCCCTTCCCACCCCAATGCCCAGCAGCTCCAGGTCAGTCTCAGGGTTGGTGGAGGGAAGGCAGGAAAGGTGAGTAAGTGTAGCAGGTGCTGTGGGCGCCACACTCCACACTCCACACTCCACACTCACCAGTGGGTCCTCTGCCTGTGAGGGGCAGGGCAGGCTGGAGGTGCCACCCAAAGGTGCTGGGAGTGGACACCAAGAGCAGCCCTCAAAAAATGACTAATGGGACTCGGTGGCCTTCTTCCTCAGGTGGGACAATTCTGAGGTATGGTCTCCCCAGCGTCCCCAGCAGGTCTGAGCCCCAAGTGCCCACAGTAATCACCTGTTCATTAACACACCTGTACTGGCATCCTTCCCTTCCCTGTTCATCTTTACCACAGGGGCTTCCTGGAATCCCCTGCCCAATGAGCTGTTTGCACTCAAACCCTAGCTCCGTGTGTCTCCTGGGAGAATGCAGCGTGAGACAATAGTGAGCAAGCAAGTCCCCTAGACCAGTGGCTCTCAGTGTCCCCCCAGACCAGCAGCCCCAGCACGGCCCCAGACTTGTTAGCAGTGTCAATTTCCAGGCCCACTGGATCAGAAACTCTGGGTGGGGCCCAGCCATCTGTGTTTACCAGCCCTTCCGGGGATTCTCTGCACACTAAAGTTTGAGGACAGTGGGACTAAGTTATAGCGCAGAAACAAACCGCAAGGGGAGGCACAAGCCTAGGAGAAAAGAAATTGACCGTCTAGTGGTTTCCGCCACCTCGAGTGGTTCTGCAGAACTCTTAAGAGAACTCGGGAGGATTTGGGTTTCGTTTCAGGGGCCAAGTCCCTTGCTGAGGAGGGCAGCCTCTTCCAGAGAAACGCCTTTCTGGTTAGTCCTTGCTCTGAAACAGGATGCCCAGGCGGACGGAGGGAGGGGAGAGCTTTCAGTGCCTGGAGGCCGGCCCGCAGCTCAGGGGAGACTAATGGAACCTAGGCAGAGGCCTTCAGGAGGGACAAACACCTGGAGAACAGCGTGAGCGGACCTGAAGCCCTAGGAAGGCAGGCAGCCCAGGCCTACAGAGAAGGCCTCAGACCACCCTTATGTTCACACTGACCTCCTAGGGACTAGGGAGATGGGGATGGGCCACCGTTTACATGGTGCCTGGTTCTTTTTGAAGGGCTTCTGCATCTTTCCCACTTGAACCCTCTAATAGCCCTGTGGGGCAGGCAGGCAGCACTCACCATCTGATGGGGAGATGGCCCCAGATCTTGCCCTTCCTGCCCTTTCCCACGGGTGTTCCAGTTCCCCTCTGGGAGGGTCCGCAGGAGGGGGCTCTCAACAGCAGGGGTGGCCCAGTGTGTGCGCTCTGTGTCTACAGTGTTTACAGGCAGTGGGGACGCCTGCGCCCGCGCCTTTGACACCCAGTCTGGAGTGCTGCAGAGGGTGTTCCGTGGCCACGCCTTCATCATCAACTGCATCCAGGTAGGACGACCCCTGGGGCTTGCTGGCTGAATGCAGGGGAGAGCAAAGCTCCAAATGACTGTCTGAAGAGAGGCTGCAGGCGCGCTGGTCCTAGGCCAGGTCTCCAGTGCCCTTCCCATCACTGCACTGCCTGGGCGGCCCAGGAGGCGAGCTTACGCTCCTTCCTGCAAGTCCTCAGAGCCCTCTACCTGACGTCTTACCACCTGCAAGATGCTATCAGCCAGCCCTGCCTAAAAATGGCCGTGGTGCTGATGACCAGCACGCACGTTCCGCTCTTAGGTTATGTGCGGGCGGCTGCTGCAAGGCATCCGGCGGGCGGGGATGGGGCGGTCAGATGTTGGGCTCCTCCTGCCCGCAGTGGGGAAGGAGATTTTCGGCGTAGTGTGGTAGTAACATCCCTTCACGCCCTCCACCCCGCGCAGGTGCACGAGCAGGTGCTCTACACAGCCTCCCACGACGGCTCGCTGCGCCTCTGGGATGTGCGCGGGCTCCACAAGCCCGACTCGCGCCGCGCAGCTCCCGAGCGCAGCCGCTCGCAGCGCTTCAACAACAGGGTGGGCTGCGCCGCAGAGGTGCACGGGCCGGCCCCGACGTGAGCGCAGCCCTGCCGGCACTCCTCTCCCGCCCGGGTAGCTTCCTGCTCCGGATGGCTGGGAAAGGGGGACGAGGCACCTGGAGACTGGATAAAAGTTTGTTGGCACTTTTTTTTGTTTCCTTTCTTCCGTTTTCACTTTATATTTATGGACTTTTCAGAAGCCCTCAGTATTCAGCTGCTGCAGCCACCCATCTGATGGGAAGGCCTCTTGGAAGGAGCCAAAGTGACTGAATAGACTGTACTCCCCCCCGCCCCGGAAACTGTCTAGGCCCTCTGTCCCTTTCCCTCCTAGGACTTCCCTCTCTCTTCCTCCTCACCCCCTTCAGCTAGAGGCCCCTGCCCTCAGGCCTTGTCATCTGTTACACCCAAGGATGCTCCCAATTCAGGATCACCAGCCTGACAGCTGTGGACACCACTGGTCCCCAAGCTCCTGAACCCTGATGAAGCCACCTCTTCCCTGCTGAGAGGAGATGGGGACATTTTTTACAAAAGCCACTGAGCCAGACTAATGTTTTCATTTTGGCAAATTGTCATGAGTTCATTTGTAGAGAACTGAAATACATCTGCTTAACAGTGTTCTTTGATATGTCGTATTTTTCCCACAAAACTGGATGGATCTCAGCTTCTTTTAGGAGGGGTTCCAGGAGCACGGGGGAGGTCTGGTCTCCTGTCCCAGCTCTGCCTCCCCTGGGAACCTCAGGGGAGTCCACATCCTACCTGGCCGGCCGGTTTCCACAGCAGCGGGGATCCTATCACTCCATGCTCTGGCGTGAAGCAAAGAGGGGGCTCTCTTCTTGTAGGGTCTGGTGTAGGAAGGCCAGGGTAGTAGCCACCTCACCTCAGCCCTGTCCCAGGGACCTCTGTCAGCAAATATCCAGTAGCCAGCTCTGTGCTAGCATGAAGATACATACCATACACAAGACATAACTGCAGTGACTCGGGGGAGTGGGCTCAGGCCCTAGAGACACAGGCTGTACCCCCATGGCCTCCCTCAGCAGCCTCTACTGTCACTTGAGGGGGTGGCTCGTCAAGCCCTTGCTGATAACCCTTTCCTGCATCCACAACACCCCATGCCAGGCCTGGGCTTGTTCCTGGTGCAGGAGGAGAAGCTGCCAGGGATCCTCAAGAGCCTACACAGCTCTCAATGTGGAGAAGTGTGCACTGTACTATCTTAAGGGTGTAAAAGGCATCTCATCAGCAAGATAAGCAGAAAGACAGGTCTCATCTGCTCCCCAGAATGCCCAGGAGTGCTAGGTCCAGGGTGAGTGGCTGGCTGCCCCTCCAGCCCAGGTCAACAGGTATAGTATGGGCACCACAGCCAGTATGAGGGAGGCACACACTTGAGACTGCTCTCCACCACCTGAGCAGCCTCCAGGGAAGATGGGCTGTGGGGAAGCCAGCGTGGAGAACCTGCAGGAACATTCACTGTTACTGAGTGTGACGTCAGCACGGAGGACCAACCAGTGGGACTGCCAGGCCCTGCCGCCTGCTAGCAACTCATTTACAGGCCCGTGGCTGTGGCTGCAGGAGGAAGTCCGCCAGGAAGGGAGCTTCCTAAGACACAGCTGAGGTGACATTTTGGGAAGGTCAGGCAGAACCATCTTAAGCATCTGCCTGAACACTCTCGAGGGGAGCAAGTCCTGGGCTTAAACCCACACTCACATCCCAGAGACTCCTCTGCATTTAAAGGCAATGCTGCATTCCTGCCTCAACAGTTCTTGCTCAGATGTCATCTTACACCCCCTTATATAACCATAGGAGAGCACACACACGGATGCTACAATCTTCGAGAACTATCCAGTTCTGTCCACCCTGCTGCTCTTGGAGAAAGAGCAGGAAATACAAACCACTATTTTGCATTTATATAGCATAACACATCTGGGGTACCTTTTACTTCCGCAATCCAGAGGCCTTTGCTAGATGTTACGGAGGCTTTAAAGAAGACCAGATATTCATTACCTATCTAGATTCCCACAAGTGCATGAGAGGGCTGTTTGGCATTGTCAGATCCTCTAAACCGAGATCAAGTACCCCTCCAGCCACACCAGTCGCCTTACTATAAAGAAAGACATCAGACAACCATGGATGTTGCCTTTGATACATTCAGTTGGATAGCTGAAGGACAACAAGCTATTTAGGAGCCACGGAGGAAAACAAGAATAGGATATGGCAGCATCACCAAAGCCAAGAGCAGACAGAATGTTTACAAGAAGTGATCAGTGTCAAGTACAACAGCCTCGTAGCTGGCCTCATCTATTTCCTTCTGCTCAAAACCCTCTAGTGGCCCCAATACTCTGCCACTCAAATCTAAACTCCTACCTCTTTAGGGTGCCCTGCAGTTGGAGTCAGCAACCCAGCCAACCTCAGTCTTCTCTGCTCCCAACATACACCCTCTGAGGGGTCAAGAACAACCCCCATGACCCCATGAATATGTCACAGTCAGTCTGCCCTACCCCCATGATTATTTCCTCATTTGCCCTCATTCTGGAACGTTCTCCTCTCTCTCCTGACTCTCCAAGAAGGTCCCCTTCAAGGCCCATCTCCTCTGTGGTAGCTTGTCTAATTTCCAGCCTCGGTACACTCCCACCTGTTTAATAACATTTTCATCACAAATGTCCTTTGATTCTTCAGTTGCCCTACAGAGCAGGGAGTGACAAACAGTTGCCGACTATCCAGTTTCACATGACTAGTTAAAGGCAGAGCCAGGACCAGAACCTGAGTCTCCCAACTTCTATGGACAGGTAGCTGTAGATGCTCTGCTCCTTGCTCAGGTGTAGTGTATGTCCAGAAGTGCCTCAAGAGGGCAGCTCCTGCTGGGGTGACCAAAGCCCATTCTCACTCCAAGAAGGGGCTTCTCTTTGCACCTCCTCATGAGAACGTGGAGCAAAGACAGGGACCTGCTGGTGTGGCTGTGCCTCCCGAGCTTTTCCATCACCATGGAAAACATCATTCAGGAAGGTAGAAGCTATGTTTGGCCCAAGCCCAGGACAGTCACTTTTTAGCTGCAAGCTTCAATGCAGACATGAAATCTGGCCTGACATTCTCTCAAGTGAAACAAGGCCCAGAGCCTTCTCTCACCTTGGCTCCCCTGTAGCTCCCAGGGCTGACGCAGACCCCAGCAGATCCCACCGCAGCTCTCCCCTCCCTGAGAGTCTTATGCCCCCACCATCAACTCCCAGCTTGGCTTCCTAGGCTGGATCTTTCCCTAACAGAGGCCCATGCAGCTTCTTAGGGCATCATCTGATTCCTTCACAAAACTCACACTCCACTAGCTCACACAGCATTTTGAACACTTGAAACAATTAAGAAATTTGAGTGACTTACTGCAAAGTTAGGCTGACAATTTTTTAATACGTTTCCCACCTTTTACTTCCACCTGTACCATCCATTTAAAAGAATAAGAAAACAGCAATAGAAAAAAATAAATAGGGCTTCATAAAAATTAAAAACTTCTGTTCATCAAAAGACTTTACCAAAAAAATGAAAAGACAAGCTACTGACTGGGAGAATATCTTTGGAAAACATATATCCAATATGAATCTAATAACCAAAATATATATGAAACTTCAACAACAAAGAGATGACCCAACCATAAAATGGGCAAAGGTCTTAAATAGACATTTCACCAAAGAGGACATTCAAATGGCCACCAAACACATAAAAAGATGCTCACCATCATTAGCCATCAGAAAGATGCAAATCAAAACCACAATGAGATACCATTTCACTCCCACTAGGATGGCTAAGGTAAAAAACCAAGACAAACAAACGAACAAAAAAATCCAGAAAATAACAGATGTTGGTGAGGATGTGGGGAAATCGGAACCTTTATCCATTGCTAGTGGGAATGTAAAATGGTACAGCTGTTGCGGAAAACAGTGTGGCAGTTCCTCAAAAAACTAAAAATACAACTACCATATGACTCAGCAATTCCACTCCTAGGTATATACCCAAAAGATTTGAAAGCAGAGACTTAAAAGACTTGCACACCAATGTTCATGGCAACACTATTCACAATAGCCAAAAGGTGTAAACTTAAATGCCCATCAACAGATGAATGGATAAACAAAATGTGGTACATACACACAGTGGAATACTACTCAGCCAGTAGCAGAAATCGAAGTCTCGATACATGCTACAGTATGAATGGAGCTGGGAGACATTATGCTGAGTGAAATAAGTCAGTTAGAGGACAAATATTGTTATAACCTCACTTATATAAAAAGGCAAGAAAAGGCAAATGTATAAAGACGAGTTTATTAGGGTTACCAGGGGTGGAAGGGAGAAAGGAGGGTTCATGGTGAGGTAAATATTTCATTGACTAAGGGTAGGGTTGCACAGCCAATTACTGTAATTGCTATCAATAAGTTCTATACCTGTAAAAAGTTGAATTGGCAAAAAGCTGTGTGATAGATATATTTACGATGACAAAAAAAAAAAAAGGTGGGGATGGAAAAACACTAAATAGACAATAGATAAGTGGCAACTTTGGCGAAGGGTAAGAAAGCAAAAAAAAGACTAGCTGCTGACGCTGTATAACCACACACATTATGGGATTTGGTTCCCTGGTTTGGAGGTCCAGGGTCATGGTTTCATGGGACATCCCAGTTAATTGGCCTAATAGCATATTTAGTGCTTCTGTTGTACCTTCTAGTTCATTGCCTAGCATCTGGGTCTTAAAAGCTTGCAAGAGGCCATCCAAAGCATGACAATTGGTCTCTATTTCCCTGGAGCAACAGAAGAAGGGAGAGTCAGGAATGAGGAGGATATGGAATGTGTGGTTAACTGACTCCTTTGTCATGTGTCTTAGTTATTTAGGGCTGCTGTAACAGAAATACCACAAATGGGTGGCTTTAACGAACAGAAATTTATCACAGTTTAGGAGGCTAGAAGTCCAAATTCAGGGTCCTGACTCTAGGGGAAGACTTCCTCTGTCAGCTCTGGAGGAAAGTCCTTGTCTCTTTTTGAATTCTGCTCCTGAGCAATCTTCATGTGACTTGGCATCTCTTCTTCCCCCATCTCTGCTTTGCTAGCTTGTTTAATCTCTTTTATATCTCAAAAGAAATTGACTCAAGATACACACTACATTAACCCTGCCTCATTAACATAACAAAAACAACCCAGTCCCAAGTGAGATTATAACCACAAGCATAGAGGTTAGGATTTACAACACATATTTTAGGGGGGACATAATTCAATCCATAACACCATGAGACCTGACGAACTGGATGGTGCCCAGCTACCATTACTGAACTTTTTTAAAAAATTTTTTATTGTACTTTAGATGAAGGTTTACAGAAGTTTCTCATTAAACAGTTAGTACACATAGTTTTATGACAATGGTTAACAACCCTACAACATGTCAACACTCTCCCTTCTTGACCTTGGGTTCCCTATTACCAGCTTTCCTGTCCCTTCTTGCCTTCTAGTCCTTGCCCCTGGGCTATTGTGCCCCATTAGTCTTGTTTTGATTTATGGGCCTGTCTAATCTTTAGCTTAAGGGTGAACCCATTCCTGAACATTCTGAACAAAGATTGTATAGAAGAATCCTGATAAAAACGGGAAAATGCAGAACAGAATCTGAAATTCTCATGGACTTCAGACTTTCTGGAGCCAAGGGGGCTGAATGAACCCCTGAAACTATTGCCCTGAGATAATCTTTAAACCTTAAACCAAAAATATCCCCTGAAACCTTCTTAAAACCAAACAATAGTTCAGCTTAATAAAAAAATGTCTACCTTGAGCATTATGCTCTTTTAAGAACTATCTATATGGGATCACATTGACAACAGCAACTCAAACGATTAGACAGGAACCTTAGAGGGCAGTAAGTTTGTTAATGGGGAGGAATAACTCAGAAAAGGAGGGTGAGAATGGTTGCACAATCCAAAGAATGTAACAAATGTCACTAAATTGTACATGTAGAAACAGTTGAATTGGTGTATGTTTTGCTGTGTATACTCTCAACAACAAAATAATTTTTTTTAAAAATCAAAAATAAATAAGATACTGTCTTCAAATTAAAAAAACAAAAAGGGCAAAGAGCTTGAATAGACATTTCACCAAAGAGGACATTCAAATGGCCACCAAACACATACATGCTTAGCATCATTACCATCAGAGATGCAAATCAAAAGTACAATGAGATAACATTTCACTACCACTAGGATGGCTAAGATTTAAAAAAAACATGGGAAAAAACACCAACACAAATGTTGGCGAGGATGTGGGGAAACTGGAACCCTTAACCATTGCTGGTGGGAATGCAAAATGGTACAGCTGTTGTGGAAAACAGTGTGGCAGTTCCTCAAAAAACTAAAAATACAACTACCGTATGACCCAGCTATTCCACTCCTAGGTATATACCCGAAAGACTTGAAAGCAGAGACTTGGAGACATGTACACCAATTTGCATTGTAGCGCTATTCACAATAGCCAAAAGGTGGAAACAACCTAAATGCCCATCAACAGATGAATGGATAAACAAAATGTGGTACATACATGCAATGGAATACTACTCAGCCAGTAGGAGAAATGAAGTTTTGATACATGCTACAGTATGGATGGAGCTTGAAGACATTACGCTGAGTGAAATAAGTCAATCACAAAACGACAAATATTACATGACTTCACTTATATAAAAAGACAAGAAAAGGCAAATGTATAGAGATCAAAGTTTATCAGTTTTTACCAGGGGCAGGAGGAAAGGGGAAGGGGGGGGGGCCAGTTATGGCTTAAGGAGTACTGAGTTTCAGTTTACAGTGATGGAACATTGCATTGATTAAGGGTAGGGTTGCAAAGCTGATTATTGTAATTACTATCAGTAAATTGTACACCTGCAAAAAGTTGAACTGGCAAAATTTGTGACATACAACAATGACAAAAAAAAAAAAAAGAGTAGTTGCTGAGACTGCTTATGTACAACCAAATACCTCATGGGATTTGGTTCCTTGGTTTGGAGATTTAGGGTCATGGTTTCATAGGACATCTCAGTTAACTGTCCTAACTGCTTAGTGCTTCTGTTCTACCTCCTAGTTTGTTGCATACTGCCTGGGTCTTAAAAGCTTGCAAGCAGCCACTCAAGGCACAATTGGTCTCTATTCACCTGGAGCAACAGAGGAAGGGGAGAGTCAGGAATAGGAGGATATGGAATGTGTGGCTAATTGCCTTCATGAACAACTGCCTCCTTTGCCATGAGACGAGAAGAACTGCATGGTGCCTGGCTACCATTACTCAACATTCCATATAAGAATCCTGATCAAAAGGGGGAAAACACAGAACAGAATCTGAAATTTTTATGGACTTCAGACTTTCTGGAGCCATTGAAGGTAGATGAACCTCTGAAACTATTCCCCTGTGATAATCTTGAAAACTTAAACCAAAAATATCCCCTGAAGTCTTCTTAAAACCAAACAATGGTTTAGCTTAGACAGTAAAGAATGTCTGCCTTGAGCAAGTTCTTTTAAGATCTATCTATATGGGGTCTGCTCAGCTGCTAACCAAAAGGTCAGCAGTTCGAATCTACCAGCCACTCCCTGGAAACCCTACGGGGCAGTTCTACTCTGTCTTACACAGTTGCTATGAGTTAGAATCAACTTAGTGATGGGTTTTGGGTATATGGATCAAATTGACAAGAGCAACCTGAAAAGATTAGATAGGAACCTTAGCGGCCAGTGAGTGTATGTTAATTGGGGAGGAACAACTCTGAAAAGGAGGGTGAGAATGGTTGCACAACTCAAAGAATGTAATCAATGTCACTGAATTGTACATGTAGAAACTGTTGAACTGGTGTATGTTTTGCTGTGTAAATTCTCAACAACAAAAATAATAAAATATAAAAATAAAAAAAGGAAAAGATTTCCAGCCATCCAAGCTTTTTCAATTGAAAAAGTTGAATTATTTCAGCCCTTTGATAGCAACAATCTGGCACATTCTGCCCTGAGCCATAGGCGCTTCCAGTGGCTTCTGGGAGGGCAGGGAGGCTCAGTAATACATCTTGCACTTGATTCATTCTGCAACTGGTTGCTGCCAGCGTGTCCTAGGTGCTGAAGCTGATTCCCACTTAACACACATCTACAAGGGAATGCATGGTGCAACAAGACCGCGGACCTGTGCCCTGAAAGGCTAACTTACTTAGCATGCTTAGAAACAGTCTCCTGTAATACAGATATACCAAAGCCCACAAAAACCCCGAAGAAAATATATCAGAATTCCTGAGAGGCATCTGAACTAGCAGTGAGTTTACTATGACAATTAGAGTCTAAAACTGTTCATTAAAAGTGCTTTGAAGAATGTAAGCAATGTCACTGAACAATCTGTGTAGAAATTGTTGGCTGGGAATCTAAACTGCTGTGTAAACCTTCACCAAAAACACACTAAAACATTACTTAAAAAAAGAAGAAACAATTATGTCTATCTCCTGAGAGAATGAAGGTCTGCACCCAAAAAAATCAAACAACAGTAGTTGCTTTGCTCACATTCCTTACTTTCCCATTTAATAAGATTTTTTTGTAAAGAGGAATTTTAAATAAACTCTGAATTTCAACCTTGAATTCCAAGTGCATATTTTACTATAACTAAGAGCATAAAACACTGATGTTTCAAGTGCTTGGAGTGACTATAAAGACTGAAAGGACAGTTTTAGGGGCAGATTGGTGAGGGTGCGGCAGGAAGCTGTGAGGCTGACAAGGAGAGACTGACTGCACCACGGGAAGAAGGAAGAGAATCCACCGCTGGGCCGAGGGGCAGGAAGGCTGCACAGGACAGAGGAGGCTGCAGACCCAGGACGCACTCCCTCATTACCGCCCCCGGAGACCTTCTGCTATGATCACCCTATTCTCCAGCACCAACCTGGCCCCAGCGCTGTCCCATTTCTGGGTGAGAAGCCGCCAAGCAGAGAGGGTGGAGTGAGGGGCGCAGAACCCGAAGGCAGAAGGAACAGCAAGAGTCAGGCTGGAGGAAGCTCTTTCCCAGGACCACCCATTACTGGCCAGGACCCCCGACCACTGCTCTTTGCCGGCCCCACACCCAAGTAGGAATCACTCTTGTAGCAAAAGCAGATAAAAAGAAGAAATAGAGATCTGCTTAGACTGTTCATAATGATACAATTTATCAGCAGAAACTTAGTACTTATTTCTGTTCATTATTTAGTTTTTCTTTGTTGCAGACTTTATATTTTCTACATAGGATAAGTACTCTGCAATAATAATTTCTTCATCTTCCAGAGTTGAGTCAAGATAATCTTCTTCGTGTTCTGGAATATCTTCCAATATTTCATTGACTGCCTCTGTCTCCATATCTTCATCTGTTGAGGCACTAGAAGCACCTACAATAAAATATCATAGTACTGAGTGAGTCAAGCGAGGAGAAGAGAAGAAAAATCCACAGAATGACTGCATGGACCAAAGTCAAGCTCAAGCCAGGACTTCTGGCCACCCTGTCATGGTGGCCTGCAGAGCAGACCTGCCAAGTAGCCTTTGCAATACGTCAGCCTCCGACTTCACAGAAACACTGCTCCCCAAGAAGAATTCAGAGGCCTCAGACGTACCTGCAGAACCGGAAGGGGATGTGGATGGTGTTGATGAAGAATCTTCTGCTGAGAGCTGCAGGTCAGGGGGAAGACTTCCGCCATTGTGAGCGAGGGTCTGGGCTGCAAGCTGGACGTTTCCCCTGAACACTCTCAGCGCTGCTTCGGCATCAACAGCGTCAAAGCCCATGTACACCAGCTGGAGGACGACACAGAAGGTGCAGCGGCCTCAGCCCTACGGTGCTGGCCCTGACCTCTGGTCCCATACAACACTCCTGTCACCCCCAGGAACAGTCAGGACAGCCTCACTCCACACACATCGCTGCCCTTTCCGGACACATCTCTCTTTAGCACCAGTATGAAGCTACCTGGAAAGGGTCTAGGAAAACTGGGGCCAAACAGACCAGGGCCCAGTCATCTTAGGGACAGGCACCAACCGCAGGAGCTGAGAGAAAAGTGTTCAGAAACTCTAATTACTACTACCACTAATTAAGTCACCACATGTGCTAGGCATACTAATTAGTGGGTGTGGGCTAGCAAAAGTACACATTTATCACTCAGGGCACAAAGCCGGACAGCGTTTTAGAGAAACGGTGACCTCTTTTAAGGCCACAGGCAGAGAAGTGGGGCTAAGAGCGAAGCAAGTTGATGTAAAAAGTGGTGTGCATATGAGAGCAGAGAAACCTCAAGAAAGAAGAAAGCTGCCTTCTCATTGGCCTGCTCTCCCAGGAAGCACCTCCTGCCTCTCCCCCGCCCACCTGGCCGGCCCTCCATGGCAGCCTCCGAGCTATGACACCACACTCTCAGCCTTCCAGACCCAAGCAGACCTGCGTGATGCTGACAAGCCCACAGGGCACAGTGCTGCATACTTACTTGGTTAATATTCTCCTGCGAAGGACTTTCCTGAGGGCTGCTGGTTTCAGGATCTGAATCATTTAACCACCACATGTGTGGATTACTGAGAAGAATCTAGAAACACACAGGAATACCTTTACTGATCACGAAGACTGAGCACCTGTGAGCCGCTATGCAGACACAGCCTCTATCCTCAGTCAAGGAGCAGGACAAGCAGCTGGATATAGGACATTGTGAGGGGCTCTGCAGAGGGTGCTGTGGACAGAAAGAAAAGGGACACCTAATCCGGGCTGGGGGCCAGGGAGGCCACTGTTCAAAGAGACTTCCTGCAAAGGGTAACATCAGCACTGAGGTTGGAAGGATGAGCAAGATGAGCCAAGAAAAAAAGATCACTTCTGCCGAGGAAGCACAAAGGGGCAAGGTGCAGAGAGCAGGTAGAAGTACCCCCAGAAAACACAGTTCAGACTCTGGGGCCAAGAGCTATAGGCACCACGAACAGAAAGGGTTTTTAAGCAGGTCAGGGCAGCCCAGTATTCACTTATCCTTCGGAGGGGTCATGCCCAGTAGACTGAAAATGGGTACACTTCTTTTGACCTTAATGTCTCTGCCACACAACACTTACTCTTAACTTTAAAGAACCCGCTGGGAACTTCCTTTATAACACTAACCACTTCTATACTGGTTGACTCTTCTGCAATAAGCATGCGTTTATGTACTACTTATGTAACTAAAAATGAATTTTTAGCCCCATCCATCCCTCCAGATATTCAGAATTTCCGATCTCTTTTACATTTCTCCAACACAAAAAATAAAACTAGTCAAATAAAAAAATCTTTAATTAAAAATATGTATTAAAGCTCTACATTCTACCTTGGTGAGTAGCGTCTGGGGTCTTAAAAGCCTGTGAGCGGCCATCTAAGATACTCCACTGGTCTCATCCCTTCGGGAGCAAGGGAGAATGAAGAGAACAGGATACAAGGAAAAGATTAGTCCAAAGGACTAATTGTCCACAGCTACCAAGGCCTCCACCGGACTGAGTCCAGTACAGCTAGATGGTGCCCGGCTACCACCACTGACTGCTCTGACCAGGATCACAACAGAGGGTTCTGGACAGAGCTGGAGAAGGATGTAGAGCATAATTCTAACTCACAAAAAAAAAAAAGACCAGATTTACTGGCCTAAAGGAGACTGGAGAAACCTCGAGAGTTTGGCCCCCAGACACCCTTTTAGCTCAGTGGTGAAGTTACCTCCGAGGTTCACTGTTCAGCCTCTGAGTGGACAGCCCTGTAAAACCAAATGAGACTAACGAGGTACAGGAGTCCAGTGACAAGGGCCAGAAGGCAGAAGGGGACAAGGAAGCTGGTGATAGGGAACCCAAGGTTGAGTAAGGATATTGTTGATATGTTGTGAGATTGTTAACCATTGTCATAGGGCAACATTTGTAGTAACTGTTAAATGAGAAACTATTTTGTTCTGTAAGCCTTCATCTTAAGTGAGAGTAACAGCACAATTGGAAGAGCGTAGTCAATGTCACTGAACTGTGTATGTAGAAATTTTTGGAACGGCATATCTTTGGCTGTGTGTATTTTCACCAAAAAAAAAAAGGTTGAGAATTTAGAGGGTTAATATGTTGTGGGGTTGTTAACCAATGTCATAAAACAACGTGTACTACTGTTTCATGAGAAACTATTTGTTCTTTAAGCCTTCCCCCTGTTTAAAATAAAATATAAAAAAAAAAAAAAGTATGTATTAACAAAATAGAGGCACAGGGCATCTTCAGGGCAGTGAACTATTGTGCCTACACTGCAATGGTGGGCTGTGGCATGATGCATCTGACAGCACAGAGAGTGAGCCCTAATGCAGATCTTGGACTTCAGTTAATACTAACGTATCAGTGTGGGCTCACCAACTGTAACAAACGTACCGCGGAAGGAAAGATGTTAACAGGAGAAACTGCGTGTGGGCGGGGGGGGGATAATACGGGAACTGTCTGCACTATTGCTTACTAGTAAATCTAATAAAACTGTTCTAAAATGTAAAGTCTATTAATGAAAAACAAACAAACAAAAGAACACCCTGACTTGTGGGACCTTCTGAGGAGTGGAAAAGGCGGAGGTCTGCGGCATATAAAAGGCAAAGGTGGGACTGGCTCCCAACTGCCTGCAGGGTCAAATTGAACTCCTGAGCAGGACAAATAAGATGGCACTTGCCACCCTGGCCCTGTCCACCTGCCTGGCCCCATCTCTGGCCCCTGCCATGCCCCCAGAACGCTCCTAACTGAACCTCAGCCTTGACTCTGAGCAGCTCCCCCAGTGCCTCTGCCCTCTCAAGCCTCCAACCCTTCCCCCTGGTTGCTGCGTCTGCCCAGCAAGCCTTCTCCTCCCTCTGTTCCTGGCCAACTCCCAATGTCCTTGCTACCCAGCCCCCTGGCCCCTACTCCTGAAAGCCTTCCCCGACCACCCCAACCTGTGCTCACCCCCCAGCGGCCCTATCTCACTGTGTTCTGTGTCTGTCTGCCCACTAACTTGTAGGTCCCTGAGGGCAGAAACTGTCCCCACTTCAAGTGGCTGAGACTGAGCACAGCACCGGCCCCTATTACGGATTTAATATGCTTGTTGAACACAACTTGGCAAGGAAATGGACCCAAGTAACATTACTACTAAGCTGGATCCCAAACAGTGTTTTCATTTCTGAGGATTTTTTTAAAAAGCTCCTTTGCCATCATACACTATCTAAACCAAAAAACCAAACCTGTTGCTGCTGAGTCGATTCTGACGCATAGCAACCCTACAGGACAGAGCAGAACTGCCCCACAGGGTTTCCAAGGAGCAGCTGGTGGATTCGATTGCTGACCTTTAGCAGCCGAGCTCTTAACCACTACGCCACCAGGGCTCTGAAATAAGTAAATACAGCTAGATATTCAATAAAAATTTTAACTTAAAAAAATACTAAATTGTCAGTTACCATTCCCCCAGCAGTGGAAACTTAAGTATAATGCAATGCCCTCTGCCTCTACTGTGGAGGTTATGCCTGCTTGTCTATGATTCAACTTTTTGCTCCAAACTGAAATCTGACAAAAAGTCCTGCCTGGGGGCTCCTCCCTGGTGATTCAGTGGTTAAAGCGCTTCACTGCTAACCAAAAGGTCAGCAGTTTGAAACCACCGGTGGCTCCTCGGGAGAAAGATGTGGCAGTCTGCCTCCTTAGAGATTTACAGCCTTGGAAATTCTATGGAGTCCCTATGAGTCAGAATCAACTCGATGGCAGTGGGTTTTTTTTGGTGGGCTCTGACAAGTTGTGGAGGGCTGCCGTGTCCCTGAGCCAGGGAGGGCTGGCCAGGCTCCCAGCTGGGCCCGCCACTCTGGCTCCATAACTGTGTGAGAGAACAAAGAACACTGACCCTTAGGTCCAAAACAGGAATTAAGAGAGGGCCCCCAGTGGTGCACTCTATGAACCAAGGAAGGGCCCTGGTGAGCCACCTATACAGAAGAGTAGCAGCAGGCTGCTGGACGCAGAAGCGGGGGCTAGGGGTTACCCTCAGGGCTCCATCCAGGTCCCCACTGGCTTGGCGAAGGGCCTGCTTGGCCGCGTGTGTGGAGTAGCCCATTCCTTTCAAAGAACTGATGTTCTCCAGGCGGCGTCTTTTCTTCTCTTTTTCCTCTTTTTTTATTTGGGCCAATTCCTTTAGGAAAACAGCAAAGTCACACTGAGTTAGAGACTGAAATTTCACTCTGTAGAATTCGTGGGGTTGCCGGCAAAGCAGAAAAATTAGAAGAGAGAGGGGTGAGTGAACCTTCTTTACCTATTCCCTCCAGTGAAGAAGCATGTGTGCTAGAAGGGGAGAGGCCTACTGGGTGCCTGAGTGCCTCTCCTGAGGGCTGGCCAGCACAGGCCAGCGCAAGTCAGAGTGGAGGAGAAAAGCCCCCGCACTGGGGGGAGGGCTCTCAGCCTCTCGCCGCCCCCCCCCCCGTATCTTGCTCTAATGGGGACTCCATGGGTCGGGCCCTGGCACCTGCTGCAGATCCACTGACCACACTGGGTGGGAAGGTCTCAGGCGCCTCCTAGGGGCTAGCACTCCCGTGTAAAACCTACCAAATGGTAAAGTGAGCTGGCATCAGAGATAATCTGACTGCGAGGTTCTCAATCCTGTTTCCTGGAGCTACCTGGGTGCTGCAGGAGGAGCCTGAGAACAGAGGCTGAGGGCTCTGGATTCTTCCTACCTCCCACCCAACTCCAATTGGAAAAGCTCTGAATTTGTTTTGTAAACTGGGGTGCTGCATGAAAATGCTGCTAAAAAGAAAACAAGTTTGAAAACCATGAATTTAATCCAATCTCATCATTTTGCAAATGAGGAAACAGAAATCTTTCAAGAAGTTAAAAAGCCTGCCAAGGTCACAGAGCGGTCAGGGAGCTGGGGTGAAGGCTCCTGCGCCCTCTGGTGGCTGCTCGGTCCTTCCCGGGCGGGTCTCACGGCAGAGAACAGCCTCAAAGCTGACCTTATCCCGCTACAAAATTACTCTTTGCTGTACTCCCATCTCAATACATCACTCATTCTGACTTTTATGCCTTTTTTCACACATAAGCCCCATGTAAGCTGTCTTTACCCTGCCCCATCCTCTGCTTTCAATCACAGCTTCTTCCATTTTTCAAAAGGCTAAGAAACATGCATAGCATTCCAGCAGGGAGCGACGCTGCCAGGCAGACACAGGACTCAGGCACACCCAACACTAATCTGACACGACGTCGGAGCCTCAAAGAACACTTTTTTCTTTAATCACAAAAGTAATGCTGTCTAAGCCAGGTTTCTTTTCATCAGTAGATAAACATTCTGAGGAATTACTTTCTGATACTCCTCTTTATAATACAAAGAGTTAGAGGAATAAAATAGACCAAATGACTGAGTATGGTACTGAAACAGTTGATGGCTACAGTAGAGTCAGATCTCCTGTGTGAATTAGGCTCTTAGGTCTGGGCTGAGGGCCATGGATGGTCACAATCACCCCTGAGAACCTCCCGGGGAGGCTGCTGCGCCAACTCTCACAGCCTCAGTATGTCAGCACCACAGCTGACCCCAGTTCTTCAGGCTCACTTTCTTCCACCAGGTGAGAAAGTGGCCTGTACTCAGGGCCATGCTGCATGAACAACATACTTTTAAGAATTATATACTACACTCCGCTCAGTGAGATGATGCTCAAAGTAGAGCTGGCATCCTAGGCTCCCACGCAAGTTTACATTCTAGGGGACACTGTGTCTTCCCAACATTGACCGATCCCTCTCTAAGGCTTGGGAGACTGGCCAGCTTCAGAGATAGGCCCTGAATAGGCTACACTAATGAAGGTAATCCTCTCTCTCTTGCCACAGGCCTAAGCCAATCAGATTGTGGCACCACTCTGGCCAGTGACTGGTTCACGGTGAGAAGCCAAGGATGTTCACTGATGCTTCTGGAACAGTCTATCCCTCTCCTGTATGATCAGATGACACAGATAACACAGGGGAAGGCAGAGAAGAGACAGAAACCATGTCCTCAATGACACTGTTAAGCCACTGAATCAACAAATAATGCTAAAACCTATCCCAGTTCGGGTCTTTAAACTTCTTTTTTTCTTTTTTTTTTTTTTTGGTTTAAGCAGATTTGAATTGGGTTTTTTGTTGCTTTCAACCAAAAGCATCCCAGTAATACACATCCATTGGATAGAACAGTGAGCAGAGTCAACTGCACCATATGCATTATTTTACATGATACAACTCCACTATACTTTTAAAGTGTTAATTCTTCCTTAAAAGTTACAGAAGTGAAGCAGCAACTTTTACAACTTTACTATCTCTCTTGGCTCTTGAGAAGCTTTTGTAGCAAAGAATCAAATACTCTTCTCAGATAGGACAGGAAAAGTGTACAAGAAACCGAAGTTTTCGTTTAGGTTCTACCACATCTTTGACCCGTGAGCCCAGAAAAGTCAATCTTTGAGCCCAGTTTCTTCATTTGTAAAATGAGAATTATTTATCCTAGTGGCCTCATAGGTGGTCACAGGCAGAACTCAGCGACATCATGATTATGAAAATGTTCTATAAAGTATTATACAAATGCAAGGAATGATTATAATTATTTTTCAAACTATCTTTTTAAAAACACTGGCTTTCCAAATGTTATTAAAATCTTATAATCAAACAATAATCAAGGAACAAATGCAGTATCAGCAATATTTGCTTGTCTGTTAGAACTGAACTATTGTTGTTGTTAGGTGCTGTCGAGTCGGTTATGACTCATGGAAGCCCTAAGTACTACAGAACAAAACACTGCCCGGTCCTGTGCTATCCTCACAATCATTGCTATGTTTGATTGCGGCAGCCACTGTGCCAATCCATCTCACTGAGCATCTTCCTCTTTTTCACTGACCTTCTACTTTACCAAGCATGATGCCCCTCTCCAGGGACTGGTCCCTCCTGATAGCATGAGCAAAGTATGAGAAACGAATTCTCATCATTCTCGCTTCTAAGGAGCATTCTGGCTGTACTTCTTCCAAGACAGATTTGTTCATTCTTCTGGTTGTCCATGGCATATTCAATATTCTTCACCAACACCATAATTCAAAGGCATCAATTCTTCTTCAGTCTTCCTTATTCATTGTCCAGCTTTGGCGTGCATATGAGGTGACTGAAAATGACATGGCTTGGGTCAGGTGCACCTTAGTCCTCGAAGTGCCATCTTTGCTTTTTAACACTTTAAAGAGGTCTTTTGCAGCATATTTGCCCAATACAATACGTTGTTTGATTTCTTGACTGCTCCTTCCATGGGCATTGATTGTGGATCCAAGTAAAATGAAATCCTGACAAATTCAATCTTTTCTCCATTTATCATAATGCTGCTTATTGGTTCAGCTGCGAGAATTTTTGTGTTCTTTATGTTGAGGTGCAATCCATACTGAAAGCTGTAGTCTTTCATCCTCATCAGTAAGTGATTCAAGTCGTCTTCGCTTTCAGCAAACAAGATTCTGTCATCTGCATATCGCAGGTTGTTAATGAGTCTTCCTCCAATCCTGATGCCGAATTCTTTTTCATATAGTCCAGCTTCTCGGATTATTTGCTCAGCATGCAGACTGAGTAAGTATGGTGAAAGGATACAACCCTGATGCACACCTTTCCTAATTTTAAACCACGCAGTATCCCCTTGTTCTGTTCGAACAACTGCCTCTTGGTCTACGTACAGATTCCGCATGAGCAGAATTAAGTATTCTGGAATTCCATTCTTCGAAATGTTATCCATAATTTGTTATTATCCACACAGTTGAATGCCTTTGCATAGTCAATAAAACACAGGTAAACATCTTTTTATAGTCTCTGCTTTCAGCCAGATCCGTCTGACAACATCAACGATATCCCTCATTCCACATCCTCTCCTGAAACCAGCTTGAATTTCTGGCAGTTCCCCGTCCATGTACTGCTGCAACTGAATTAGACTATGTAAAATACAAACACACAGAACTTAGTTTTTCATACTCTGTGCCTTTACCTACTCACTGACTTCTATAGCAACACCCAGTGGAACACGATTCAGGAACGCAGTCAGGGGCAGACTGGGAGAGAGAGAGAGACAGGAAACCAACACAGCCAGAGGAACTTAAACACCCTTGGGACCAGCCGCCATGCAATCGGTGCAGAAATCCACTCCTACCCAGCACACTGGGCTCTCCTGCCCCCTCCAAATGCCACCTCAGGCTGATGCCCTCCTTCAGGATACCCCGGTGTTGAGCAAAAAAAGAAAAAGGAGAGACTACATAACAAGAAGATTCCAGAGACTTCTATGGCTGGAGTTTACAGCTAGAAAGGACCTGTGAGAAAATCTAGTTCCAACTTCTTGTACTGAGACGAAAAACGCTCCACTGCTAAAAATCCCATCATTCTTTCTGGACCTCAGTTTCTTTACTATAAAACTGGCATGCTGTATTTGCTAAGGCTCCCTCCAACTACAAAATTCTAACCTTTACTCTTTTTTAAGGTTCTTGTTAACGTTTTAAATGATCAACATTTTTTTACTTTTGCTTTCATAATGTTATGCTGATCGTTCCCATGATCTGACTCACACTTCTCGGCAAGAATGTAATCCTAAATTCTAACAATGTTCTCATGGAAAAACAGTCCCATTTACAATGGTTTCCAGGAATACATCATGATTTAAAAATAAAAGGGAGATGGTTGTGTGTATAACCACACCAACGAGCTATCTGCCACCACAGCAGGGAATTAAACTAAAGAAATTGACTGCCAAATAATTGATGCACTTTAAAAAGACAAGCTTTTCCTTATTTCCCATATTGCAGTGAGAGAGGACCTTGTTATTAGCTTGGTAAAACAGCAAAAGTCAGATTTCTTCTAAATTAAATTAAATCTGACTTGGAGACTTTAAAAAAAAAAAAAAAAAAGAGTTCCTTGTTATTAATACCTACTATGGAATTATCTTTTTCTGTTCTTGCATACCCAAGAAAACTAAGGCATCTCGGAAAATAAAATCTAACTGCCTCAAGCTTCACAACCCACTCAAAGAACAAGGCGGAGCCTCAAGCAGGCAGGGCCAAGCCAGTCCCAGTACCTCTCGGCGGTTGGTGATATGAGTGGCTGCATGATCCACGTTCCCATCACATGCCCTCAGGCCCAGCCGGGCTTCCTGTGCCGTAAATCCCAGCTGCAACAAATTATGAACCTTTGATGGATCGATGTATAGCTCTTTAAAGAGTTGACGTGCCTATAACAGGTGAAAATGTAAGAATCGTATCACTATAGGAGTGTTAAGCTTCATGCAAAGCTAAAGCCTGAAAGAACTTCACACTGTACCCGAGTGAATTAGGATGTGCCAGATTTTAGACAAAAATTCTAAATGAGACCTATTATCAACTAATACAAATGGAGACAGACAACACTACCTGTGCTCACATAACTTATACATAACATAGTATGAGAAAACAGGCTGGGTGTTGCGGAAGGCACTAGTACCCATTATCCCCTTCTTCATTGGAACTTGACCTGTGCACCTGGCTGTCCAGCCCTCACACCCTCCCAGCTCGGTGGGTGGTGAAGTCCAGGCCCATGGGATGTGAGCAGCAGTGGTGGCCCAGCTCCTGGGCCATCTTTTGGAAGAGGCTGCCCTGGACCCTCTCCCGCTCTGTGGCCTGGCCTGCTCACCTCTGCTGTTAGAGGTGAGAGCAGTCACTCTTACCCGTGGAAAGTCGCGGAGTTTTGAGGTTTCTTTATAGTAATGTGAGGGAGAGGGAGAAAGACACATGTTTCTCATAGTTTATAAAATACTTAACTTCTGGGAATTGAAAATAAAAAGCACATGAAAATGGTACAACTTTGGAGTGTTCATTTTCTTACCTTGTTGAGATACTCGCGAGCCTCTTCACCATTTCCACTGTGATAGTTTCGGATACCTTGAAGCAAGTAAAGTCTTAAGAACAATACCTTCTCTTTACCACAATTTCCCTAAAATTAGAAAAAAGAAAAGGATAACTGTCTTGTCTCTAACTATAGTTATATAATAATCACGTTTGTAAGTCCCTTTGTCTCCACAGAGGCAAAACAGTATTCCTAACATTCACAAACATTCAATATTGCTGGTGGTGAAAGTGGGAGTCCCCAGAGCACAATGACATTCCCTGTGCCTCCAGAAGAAACTGTACCAGAACTCCTGTCCCCAGACACCCAGGACAGTGACCCTTCTGGTCAGCAGGGAAGTATGCAAAAACCAAAACCAGGGATATCTTATGCTGCCCTGCAATTTCCAAGCAGAATTCTGCTGACTTGCTGCAATCCCCTTAGAAAAATCCTTATTCAAGTCACAGCTCTTGAGCTATGACTCATTCATGTGAACTGCTACTGGAAAAAATGTCTATTTTCTGCACTTAAATCTTCCATTAGACTCCACAGGGCATTAACAAGTCACCAGTTGGTTGAGGGTGACCACCAACGGGGTCCTGGGACTAGAAAACAGCGTTCTTCTGGGCTAAACACTGCACAGACAGAAGCAACAGCTAGCTAGATTTATAAGACGTTCAACAATCACTTTTACAATACAGCTTTAAAAGAGCACATAGTATGCTACTATCAAATAAAAGCACCTTTTGGCAGCAGTCTAAATCCTTTAAGAGGAATAAACACCAATTCGAGAAATGGACTCAACAATACACAAAACAAATTACAGTAACATACTTTTATGTGGACCAGTCTCTGATGATTTTCTCCATAGCAATTTTTAAAGCATTTCTGGGCCAAGTTTAATTTTTTTTCTGCATCGTCAAGGCATTCCAGTTGCTCCAAGCGGAAGTAGCACCACACTATATCCAGCTGGAGCACTGCATAGTTATCCACTGTGTCCAGCAGTTCTCTGCAGCACTCACTGTGAAGGAGAACGGAAGCGCCGCCATTAAAATGAGCATTACAGATCTTTTTGTGAATGACTAGAATTCTCTTCTAGGCACTGGTGTATTCTCAAAGACTGCTCTAAAACAGAGAAACAGAAATCCCCAGTATTTATGATGAGAACTATATTTATAATCTGCATCCTTTCAGTGGGGAAAAAAAGAAGTTAGGGCTCGGGAATAGCACCTTAATACCATCTACCCTAGCACACAAACACAACACCCCCACCCTTGCTATGCTGGGAAAGAGATCTTGACAGGAAGTGGAGATCTGGGCCACTGGGTCAGAACCACTCAACCAACATGGGCAGACCTTGCCTTAAAGCAGTAGTGCTAACCCTGACTACAAAGTAGAATCACCTGAACATGAGGAACTTTTTTTTTTTTTTTGAGAAATATTGATGCTGGGGCCCCACCTAGACTAATTACAACAGAAAGCTCTGGAGGTGAGGCCTTGACATTGTATTTCTAGAAACTCCTGAGGTGATTCTAACATTCAGCCAAGGTTAAGAACCACTGCTTTGAAGAGACACACACACGAAAATCACTATTCACTAAGAAGGCCTCAAGTGATGAAGACTCTGACCTGGCAATCACGTTCAATCACATTCAAGCTGGGAGGGAAAAAATCCAGAAGAGCCAGGCTTCGATGCCTAGCTGATTTCTGAGGGCCCATGTGTAGGCTAAATGCTACTTTCCAGCTGTGGCAGCAGGTTGAACCCAAGTACAGAGAGAGGGAGAGGAAAGACAAGGCAATAAACAGAAGTCAGTTTGGTCTAGAAAGAAGTGTTGACAAAGATGGACATCAAGATTATTCATTTTGATTTTAAACTGTGATTACATTAAAAATTCAGAATGCAAATCTAGATCTCAAGTCTGAACTCTCAAATAAGGAAAACATTTAGAACCATGCATTATACATTAACATACATTGGTATTCTACTAAAAATAAGACTGTTCTTGTATAAAACCACAAAGGCCACATGCCCTCAAGCTTCCCAACTTGCCTATAAAAATCTGCTCTGAAAGGAAGAAAAACCAAAAGGCACTTGATCAGCCATTGGCCCTCTACAGCAGTGGTCTCCTAAGTGGGCACTTCAGGCACACACAAGACAATCCATGGGGGCACAAGAGAAATACATCAGAGTTTTTATATTTATTGTTTCTTTCTTTTGAAATTCCTATTGTTTGAATGTTTTATAATATATACACCATAATTTACAGACACACACGTGTATGACTGGGTGAGGGCACTTTCTCTGGATCTTCTGCTCAGTCTGAGAACTTGACTTTGAGAGAAGTGAAACTTTGTGGACTGTAGTCTGATCTTACACTCAAGATGACACTGATCTATCTCTAGACATATGCTGACTTCTATGATGGAAGACTCTCCCACCATTTATAGGAGAGCAATGAACATTTTACTAGTTTTCAATTTCTTACATATGTCAGCAGGTTCTTTCTTATTTAATAAGTATCAAGAGCACAGACAGAAATCATCTTATATTAGTTGAAAATAAAATCAATGTGTGCTTTTCTCAAGCTGAACCCAAAACTGAGTATCTGTACAGTAAAGAAACAAGCACAGGTCTCACTTTAAGGAGGTATATTTCGTTGTTTTAGTTTTAAAAATAACTGTTTATGCATATACAGGCCTATAAAAGAGATCAAGAAGTCAATACTTGTGTATAATTATTTTGAAACTATTATGCCTGTATTTGAATCTAATCATGTCACTCAGGAAAATGTTTTTTTAAAGCCTTGTATAAAATTGGTCTTAGACTACATATTTATCAATATTGCTTTGGCTTATGATTTTGGTAGCTTTAATATTTAAACTGTCAGTAAATTTTCATGTTGAAAACATTAATTGAAATAAAATTTAAATTTTTATTTAAATAAAATCAACCAAGCGCAGCTTTAGAGATATTCATTCCATTTGGGCTTAAGCCAATTATTTAACAGAAGTTTATTATGTTTGCCTTACACGTTTAAAAATTTGTATAAAATAAAGGTATTACTTTCAAGAAGGAAAGCTAATCTTTTTTTTTTTTTCTTTTTTCAAGGAAGGTTGGCTAAAAAATCATTTTTACTTTTATTACTCATTTTAAGGAATTGGATTATAGTGTGCCTTGATGTAGTTTTGTTCAGATTTCTTGTACTTGGGGCTCATTAAGGTTCTTAAATCTGTGGGTTTATAGTTTGCATCAAACTGGTAAAAATTCTGACCATTATATCTTCAAATTTTCCTTCTATCCCCCTCCTCTTCCTTTCTAGGGACTCCAGTTACACGTATAGTAAGCTGCTTAAAGTTGTCCTACAGCTTGCTGATGTTCTGTTTGTATTTTTCAATCTTTTTTCTCCGTTTCATTTTGGATAGTTTCTATTGCTGTGACTTCAAATTTACTGATCTTCTCTTCTGCAGTGTCTGATTTGCTTTTAATCCCATCCAATGTACTTTTCATCTCAGACACTGTACTTTTCATTTCTTAAAAGTCTAATGTGGGTCTTTTGTATATCTTTCATGTTTCCATTTAACACGCTGATATGCAATACAGTTATACCTGTTTTAATATCCTTGTCTACTAATTCTATCTTCTGTGTCATTTCTGGATCTGTTTCTATTGACTGATTTTTCTCCTCATTGTGGCTCTTATTTTCTTGCCTCTTTACATGCCTGGTAATTTTTAACTGGAGACTGGATATTTTTATATTGCTACAAATATTGTTGAACTTTGTACAGACTGAAGTTACCTGACAAATAGTTTGATTCTTTCTAGGCTAGCTTTTAAGCTTTGTTAGGTACGACTAGAAAAGCCTTTAGTCTAGAGCTAATTTAACCGTACTATTGAGGCAATACCCTTCTGAGTACTCTATCCAATGCCCCTTAATTACAAAGTTTTCAACTATAGTCGGTGGACATACAAACTATTCCTGGCCCTTTGTGAGGTCTGAAAATGTCTCTGCTTCTTTTGGGTCATGTCTCCCCCAGCCTTGTGTAGTTTCCTCACATGCACATGCTGGTCATTACTGAGCAGAAAACTCAAAGGGGACCCTCTGAAGATCTCTGAAGTACTCCTTCTGGCAGCTCTGAGTCCTCTCAGGTACCCTGTCCTGCAAACACTAGCCATCTAGGCCTCCTGGATTCCTAATTCCATCTCCTCAACTCAGGGGAGACCATGAGGCTCTGGCTGCGTTTCCCCTCCTTGCACTGCAGACTTGGAACTCCCTCTAGGCAGTAAGTTGGAGCAATCCCAGGGCTCACAGTGTTTGCTTCCTCTATCTCAGGGATCACTGTTCTGTACTGCCTGAAAATCATTCTTTGACATGTTTTTTCCAATGTTTTGTTTCAGGAGAGGATAAATCCAGTCATTGCTCCACCTTGGCCAAAAGGGGAAGTCTCATCTTTAGTTTTAAACAGGGAAAAAAACAATTCTTGTTCATGCTACACGCCATACCTCAAGACACTAATAAGCTATTAGCATCCTGTATTACAGAAAGTGTGATGAGACTTTTGGCCTACTTGGAGAAAGTAGAAAACAAAATCAAGTGGGAAAGAAAAATGAAATAACTGAAGATGCACCTACGTTACTGCCTTATATTAGAGTTGATATATACTTTATGGAAAGGGGGGAAACCACACAAAAAGTATGCCAGTAAATTGGCCAGACTAATCAGATCCTCAGAAAAAAGATTATTCTCTACTCAGAAAAGCATTACTATTGGATTATTATACCTACCACTTACTGAACATATTAATATACCATGAGCTGAAGACAAAGTTATTTTTATTCAGGGGTTCCTTGAGACCTTAAAATTATTTCCAGGGTAAAGAGGTTGAGAAAGTCTTGTACAGATGAATCAAGATCAGCCATGTCTTGATAACTGTTGAAGGCTAAATTTTTACATATGCTTGAAATTTTCCACAGTAAAAAGTTGGAAACCATTGTGGAAGGGAATGGAAAATTTTACCTGAATTTTAAGGACCCAACTCACGGTCTGTACCGTTTGCAGTGGAGAGAATGAAAACAACATGAGAAAGCAGCAGAGCCAAAGGCAGAGTACAAGAACCCTGGAAGCACCAAGTCCATGGCTCTAATCATCCCAGCTTTGCCTTTGCCCCTCTCCTCCCAAGCATAGAAGATAATAAATCCCCTTTTTGCTTAAGTTGTTTTAAGGTGGGATTTGTTCACTTAAACCAAAAGGATCTGACCCATATAGCTGGCATACTATAAACATTTCTATTCATCTTCTTAAAGATACAGTATAATAATCTTGGGAATTCACCAAAATGAGAGGGAATACTGAAGTTAACTTTTGACTATTGTCAAACATCAAGTCTATTTTTCAAACATTTAGTACACCACGATTATAGTATCTAAATACCATTTTCCATTCAGAGGAACCAGGAATCCTTGGGGAAATTTCTAATTCCCAGTCTGTGGCAGGAAATTGCCAAGATGAGTCTGGAATACCTTTGGCCAATAGAGATCAGAGACTACAAAGATTACCAGGATCATGTCAAAGAGACTCAGGAGCCACCTGCCAGCCAAAGGTGGGCAATTTGAGCACTGAGGTTTGAAACACATCAAATGTGTGAAAATTCATGAGTTCAAACTGATACTTCAGAAAAAAAGAAAACCTCATTGGTCACCTTTGCAGGATGTTAGAGAAGCAATTCACTTATTCTGAAAACAAGAAAATAAAGGCAAAGAACCAAGCATTGTATCCTGTTTCTCCTACACAAATTATACCTCAGCATTTAACTAAATAGCTGGTGAGGAAAAATATTTCTTAACAGAAAACTCTCAGCTAATAAATGCAGAAGGAATAAAATACCACCTTTTTGTAGCCTCTACTAAAACAATGATCTGGGGAATGATTATTAATGTCTACACAGAAACCACTAGGTAAAAAGCTGATGGGGAACTTCATAATGTCTAGTTCAACTAACAATACATCACACACAAAAGAGGCGATATCCTACATGCTTGCTGTAAAAAGTTTAAGTACCTATGTTGATAAAATTCTTTTCTTTACAGGGAAGGGAGATCAGTTAGAAATATGAAGGGAAAAAATAATTCCCAAATTGGTCTGCACCATAAGTACTATTTCACATTAACCACTGTCTTGGCTGACACTCTAAAGTCTCAAGTGTACAGGGAGGAGGGAGGGTGCTGTGTAGAATCTGGGCCATCTTTCTTAAAACTGGTATTCAGCAAGTACAAAAGTTCCTACCAGAAATATTTGTCAGCGTCCAACAGACATGGCAATGCTATTCCATATTCTTTTCTTTTCAGGAAAGCTCTGCCCTTCTCATGATATCCCATAGCTAACATAAGAGCCTAGGAAAAAATATGGATTTAAAAAAAAAAAAATCACTTTAAATTATAAGAAAACAAATTATATTAAAAGCATATTAATTCTAAAAATCTAACAAAGTAAAAAACAAAAATGAAACAGACCACAACTAAATCTAAAAGCCAAAATTAAGGAAAACATAATTAAGTCTTTATTTTATTTAAACACGGAAACAAAACACTCAATTTAACGTGGTTGATGTGGTCGCACAACTAGCACCTGTCCCATCATCTCCATCAGTTTATAGTATTACCTGTTGCTCTCTATCTCCTTCTAGTATTCTATAAGATCTAACTCATAAGAAAGCAGATAGTAATGCTTGTATCCTTTGTAAACAGAGGGTTCATTTCACTTTCTATTCTTAATCATCAAATTTGTTCTGAAGTATTTGTCAATTAAAGTATTTCCAAAACAATTTTTAAAAGCTGATCCAAAAAAAAATTAAGTTCATTAATTTGTTATAGATTTGAATTTTTATATAATTCAATCTTGTGAAGGTTTTCCAAAAAGATCTAGATATCATCATTTAATATAAAATAGCAACAGGCAAAGAATCACCAACATTTTTAGAAAATAAACATCAATCCACCACTGCTACTGCTATATAGTTCTCTTATTAAAACTTAACTTTAGATCTCAATTTTAAACAGAATAATCCATATAGTGAAGTCTACTCAAAGCTGTGTTTTAAAAACAAAATTACTAAAATGAACTTGGTCAACAGTCATTAGAGCTCTTCATTAGAAGAAGCTACTGGACCTTAGTTCAGAAACTGGTCTCAGGGTCCAAGTTGTAGAACCCTGCTATGAAGACTCCCTTGGTTATGTTCAAAGAGGAAACCACCTCCTACCTATCCAAATTACAGAACAGTTGGGAAAGGGGGAGATATCAGAATCACCTGTCAGAGATTCCCCAAACTACTTAGCACCACTGCCCCCTATTCAGATACAGCCCTTAGGGGACATGGCCCTCTAGTAAAATAAGCCAACCAAACCAACCACTGTCAGAGGAGGCCGGCTATCCCGAAGGCAGTGGGTCACGCCCTGGGACGTGTTCAACATCACTGCCAGAAGACAGCAAGACACAGCATTTCATATCACTCTCTGAGTACCACAGGGGAGACCCACCGTGTGCAAATGCTAATCACATGGCACAGTCTCTGCTTACAGGACTTACAGGACAGAAAACTTTCTTAATCCTTCATAGCATTCCAAGACAAAATAACTAGAAAACTACCTCAGTTTTGACAGCAAATTTAAGAACTAACCATAACCTTCTTATAGTACTTACTTTTCTCTCTGAGGGGGGAATCTGGATTGATCTGCCTGTCTGGTTGGCTATGTCTAAGTAAGGGGTAGTTTCTGGATCCACCACCATCTCAGCTGCAAAAAAAACAAAAGGAAGTTCACTATTCAGTGTTAAAGGGCAGGGAAGAGACAACCTTGAAAATGTCAGACTGGTTAGGAAAAACATCTGAGAGAAATATGACAACTCCTCACAGTTGCATGATTCGCTGTCACCTTTGACTACATACTTTAACTAGTCAGTGAAAGTTCTGTGTACCTCTCTCGGCCAGTATTTCCAGTCCTCTCTTGGTCCTCTGTATTCTTTTTTCTTTTAGTTCGGCTTCATTTTGCTCTTCTTCTTCTACCTGAAAGTTCCTCCTCACATCCTCTTCAGACTGCTTTAGTTCAAGCACCATAGCCTTCACATTGTGTGTCACTCCTTGTTCTTCCAGTGTTTTCCCTGTAAAAATCAGAATTACATATTACAAAAAAAATCCACTACCATCGAGTTGATTCCAACTCATAGCACCTATAGGATGAAGCAGAACTGCCCCATAGGGTTTCCAAGGAGTGGCTGGTGGATTCGAACTGCCGACCTTTTGGCTAGCAATCGTAGCTCTTAACTGCTGCACAAGAAGAACCTTTAAAATTACTGGTCATAAGCCATTCTCTGTGACAAATGGAATTTTGAAACCTGCATTATCGTTTGCAAACTACTGTGCTACTTATCAGGAAGAATGTGCTTGTGTGTGGTTGTGTGATGAAGTGACAGTTGAGCAGCTGTTAAATCAGCCAGTGAAAACAGAAGTGACTTCATGCTTTCCAATGGTCTTTATTCTTGTCATAAGACCAGATCAAAGTAACAAATATCTGGGAATCTACTACAGGAAAGCCCTGCGCCAGGCAATACAAAAGAATATGAGCAAGTATAATTCAAGAATTTCCCTGCCCTCTGGTGGGAGAAATAATAAAGCCAATTCACAGCCATGGACAAGAAGCTGTAATGCCGGAGAGCACTGTGAGAAATAACTTACAGTAGTGGTTAGAAACAAAGATGGCGGCCCCATCCCTTTTCAACTCTGTGGTCCTGAGTGAACTGCTTATCTTCTAGCCTCAATTACCTCATATATAAAGCATACATAAAGGGCCAGAAATCAATGAAACAGAATGAGAGAGAAAATGAGAATATTAACAAAACCAAAAGCTTTGAAAAGATTAATCAAATTAATAAACCTAAGGGAAATTAAATAAAAGATGCAAATAAACACACAAAATGAAAAAGGGGCTATAAAGAGATGCAAACAGATTTTAAAAAATAAAATCCCGTTATGAATTAGAAGCATACAAATTTGAAAACATTTCTGAAAAAAATATTAAATGCTAAAATTGGCATAAGAAGAAACAAAAAATTTGAATACGCCAATAACTACCAGAAAAATTAAAATAGCAATCAAAGACCTCTCCCACCTTCATACTGGTATGGACTAATTTATGTCTCTCAGAAAAGTATGTTCAAGTCCTAACCCCCAGTGCCTGTGCATGTGACTTTGTTTGGAAATAGGGTCTTTGCAGATGTAATTAGTTAAGTTTACACAAGGTCATACTGGAGTAGGGTAGGCCCTGATCCAATGATTGGTGCTTACAAGAGGAGAAAAGATAGAGGTACAGAGGAAAGACGGCCACGTGAAGACGAAGGCAGAGACTGGAGTTAAGCTGCCACAAGCCAAGGAACACGAGAGCACCAGAAGCTAGAAGAGGCAAGGAAGGACCTCCCCTAGAGCCTCCAGAGAGAGCGTGACCCTGCTAACACCTCAATTTCAGACATCTAGCCTCCAGAACTGTAAGAGAATACATCTGTGTTGTTTTAAGCCACCAGGTTTGTGGTACTTCATTACGGCAGCTCTAGGAAACTAATACATATACACATAAAAAATAAATAAACAAATAAATAAATGAGGTCCCATGCTCAGACACTTTTATAGACAAGTTCTACCAAACCTTAAAGGAACTTGTACAACTGTTCCAGAAAGTATAAAAAGACAAAAAGTTCCCTAACTCATTTTATGAAGCTAGTAAAACCTTGACTCCAAAACCAAACAAGTACAGAGCAAGAAAATTATAAGTCAATTTCACTTATGATAAAGATATGAAAATCTTATGTAAAGAATAAGCTAACTACACTGTATTAAAAAACAAAGGAGGCGGGGAGGTGAGGGCAAGATGGCAGAGTAGTCAGACGCTTCCAGTGGACCCTCTTACAACAAAGACCCAAAAAAACAATTGAACTGATTATATATGGCAATCTGGGAGCCGTGAACATCAAAGGCAGAGTTGAGGAACTGGACTGAGTGGCAGGGGGAGGGAGAGACGGTTCTGAAGCAGCAAAGAGTTGCCAGACCTGACCTGGCGAGAGCCTGAGCGGTGATGCAGACAAGTGGCGGTGCTCGAGAGATGCACTTTCCGCACTGGGAGAGACCAGCGCCAGAGAGTCTACATGGCCACCCAGAACCAGTGAGAAGCAGCCCTGGATCGGCAAAAGATAAGTAATTGCGTATGGCCTAAAGAGCAGATAAAAAACACCCGCCTTAGGGAAAAAACTCTCTCCCATTCACCTTCCCGCTCCCTGCTCTGCACTGGGTCCTGGACCAGCTTCAGCAACTGCTGAGTCCCCTGGGCCAGAAGTAGAAGCCGTAACACACCCACAGCCATTCTCCCCGCCTTGGAGAATAAACAAATTAACAGACAGAAAAAATAAACTGCTGGCTCCCCTAAGCTAGGAACCCAGGGTAGGCACAGCTTCTTTGCCTAGGCACAGACGTAAGGGATCCACGAACTTTGACTGCCTTTCCCCCTGCATAGACTTGTGTGGGCCCATCTCAACAACGGAGGCCCTTACTACCGCAGTACAACAGGGTATATACTGGAAGTCTAACTTCAACTGTTTCAGCTGTGAAGTGGCAGGTTCTTGACATTTGAGACTGCTCTACCCATTAAACAGGGTCTTCACCTACCCACATCAAGGGCCTGAGGACTGGTGGCTCCATCCACGCCACCTAGCCACCTGCGATAGGGGCCCATGAATAAGAGGTGCCCACCAATCCTTAGAGCCAACAGCATTAACTGCTCATAGTCCGGATGCAAAAGCCACCCACCTACATGCTCTAGGCAACAGAGACACGCCTTCCTCCTGGACACTTGGGGGTGGCCATCAGCCCCCTGCCTTGCTCAGGGTGTGTCCCCCAACTGCAACCTACACCAATCACCCATGCCTGTCTAGGACTGTAAGTGAAAGCTTACACCACACACTTGGTGGCTATCTACCTGGGTAACTGAGCTGAATCCATACAGGAGGAGTGGGTGGACTCCTGAGCTCACATACCTAGTAACATATCTAACCACCTGTGACAGGACATTAGAGCTTCAAAGGTGCCAATAATCAAACTAGCTCACACAAGCAGCCTACTGGGGCATATCAAAACATAACAAGAAGCTAAACACACTAAGCAAACATAAAATAAATAAATATAATAACTTATTGATGGCTTGGAGACAACAGTCAATATCTAATCACATAAAGAGGCAATCCATGATGACTTCAGCAAGCTCCAAAAATAAAGAAATCTTGGAATTACCAGAGGCAGAATACAAAAGATTAATATGAAGAACACTTCAAGAAATTAGGAAGGAAATTAAGCAAAACGCAGGACACGCAATAGAGGAAATTAAAAAGATTAGAGAAGAGCATAATGATAAATTTAACAGGCTGCCATAATCCATAGAGAGACAGCAATCAGAAATCCAGAAGATTAACAATAAAATTTCAGAATTAAGACAACTCAATAGAAAGTCATAGGAGCAGAATTGAGGCAATGGAAGTCAGAATTAGTGAGGTTGAAGATAAAGCACTCGACACCAACTTATCTGAGGAAAAATCAGATAAAAGGATTTAAAAAAATGAAGAAACCCTAAGAATTATGTGGGACTCTATCAAGAGAAATAACCTACGAGTGATTGGAGTACCAGAACGAGGGGGATAAAAGAAAATACACAGAGAATTGTTGAAGATTTGTTGGCAGAAAACTTCGTTGATATCATGAAAGATGACAAGATACCCATCCAAGATGCTCATCGAACCCCACATAAAGGAGATCCCAAAAGAAATTCACTAGGACTTATTATAATCAAACTTGCCAAAACCAAAGATAAAGAGACAATTTTAAGAGCAGCTAGGGATAAAAGAAAAGTCATCTACAAAGGAGAGTCAATAATACTAAGCTCTGACTACTCAGCAGAAACCATGCAGGCAAGAAGGCAATGGTATGACATACATAAAGCCTTGAAGGAACACAAATGCCAACCAAGAATTATATATCCAGCAAAACTGTCTCTCAAATATGATGGCAAAATTAGGGCATTTCCAGATAAACAGAAGTTTAGGGAATT